AACTTTTTAGGATTAAATATCTTTGCCAATCGTTCTGTCCCTTTCATGAAAATTTTGCTCGAATCAAAGTTTGTAGAACCATAAGCTAACACTGGGTTAAAATTGCGTTGTTCAAAGTAGAGTTAAGCGCTGGGTTAACTAACCCTGCATGCAGTTATATTCAAAAGATAACCAAATCACACTAACTGACTCGATAAAGTTTTTTAAGTATGCCTCTTTACAATTTACCGCAAACTTTTGGGTTGAATTTGTCGATGTATTCGAAAGAGATTTCCCATTTAAATTTAACACACGAGTTAAAAAGTACATCGGGTAAGGTTTTGTTCTCGTATGTATCGTAAAAAATTTGAGATGAAGCACCACCTACAAAATATTTGGTGATTGCATGACGTGACAACATGATATGTAAAAACTACACTCCATTTTACTGAGGGAAGCAGCTGGTTTATAAGCTCAACAAAAACAGTTAATAGTGCCAATTTATCGTCAGATCGCAACATTAAATTCTTTTATCCTGAATGTTTGTCTTATTGTATTCACATTATTGTGCATGTTGATTTCTCCGTATTGTTATCATCCGTGTAAAATTTAATTTATCATAAGTCCATTTTACACGACATAAACTAACTTAGGTTCAACCAAGATTCAAATTCACATGGGTTACTTTTTCGCGTATACTGAACTCTAAAACCTATGTTCATCCTGGGTGTAACTCAACTCATATTAAAAAGTGGCTAGAATGAATCAACCCCTCGTCGAACCTGGGTTAATAGTGTTAACACGCAAAAAAACATACATAGGTACATTTAACCTGGGTTGAACCCAGATTAGTTGATATCTTATGAATTAGGCTCTAGTTTATATCTACTAACTATAGTTAGTTGCTTTTACTTATAATGTATGATGGACTCATGTACGATTCATGTACAATAAAGAGTAGCTACAAACGTAATATAGGAAATTCAATATCAACTTTATTTGCGACATACAGTCGAACCTCCCGTAAGCAGACACCTTCGGGACCACGACCTGGTGCCCGCTTACGGGAGGGGTCAGCTTACGGGAGGTGTGATTACAACGCTTTAAAGTCTCATATGACTCCTTAGTGACGTAGTCCATTGACAAAATAGAATTTAAAAATTAAACGAGACTTACCTGTAATTTGAAGTTTGATTGTAACTCATGAGTTATTGGACAAGAAAACTAAGGATTCATATGAGATATGCGCACGCAGATCGAGGAATTAGTTTTCAACGCAGCGTGTGATTTCAACATCATTCACAAAAATAGGGTGGGTGCAATTAGATTTAATATACACCAAGTAATGTTTGGTGTTCCACAAATTTAATAATGGGTGGGTGACTCCTTAGTTTCCTTGTCTAATAACTCATAGAATTACAATCAAACTTTTAACTTACAGGTAAGTCTCGTTTAATTTTTAAATTTATCAATAATATTCTCAAACATGTACATTTGATAAACTTTAACAACAGTTCCTGGATGATCTTTGGAAAAACTTTTTAGTAAGCAGCCGAAGTCAGCTTTTGTTAGTTATGGTTTATAATATTTTCAAAACTTTGAAGCATTGGTCCATCCCACCTCTTCCATAACTACCTCAATTGAAACTGATGCTTTATTCACACCGGCAGATGACTTTCTTCTTTTGCGTTGTATCGAGAAACCCTTTATTCCACACAGCTTTATAATCAAGCCATCTCAAAATAGACTCTGTGTTTTCCATGGTATTGAAAACTATTTAAAACATGTTTCGAATTACCTCTAATAATTTTAGTTCTTTTAATGTACTCAATACGGAGTTTGATTATCTGCATCTGGTTTACATAATAACTATTAAAAGCTTTAAATGGTCAAATGAGTATATATACTTTTTATCCTTCCAAGACATATTATCAAGTGATAATTTTTCAAGGATTTGGCACATTTGTGCAAGAATAAAATCCAACACTATGATCAGTTTGTGTTAGCTTTTTTCATTTCAAAGTTTCATTTTCCTGAAAATTTTTAAGTAATCTATCACTATTCGCACATACCAGGGTCTGTTGTACCTTGGTAAGGATTGACGATTTTCAAACACTTCTTTCCAGAGTCTGCAAGCCAATCGTTGTGTCCCAAAAATTTATCTACTGATAAAGCTATTACCAATAATAGCACACTCCTTTTCATATTAAGAGCAACAAATTTCCTTAATCCTTTATTTAATCATATCAGTTTTCGTTTGATATTTGCAATACCTATCTCACCAAACAAGAAGTTGGCAAAAATTAAAAATGATAATCCAGCTATGATTGATAGAAAGCTTTTCCTGCAATTGCTTCCGGATCTAGGATGTATGAAATGTATGCCTCAACTTGGACATTAATTCTGGAGGCAAAGAGGTCAATGTTTGTCTTAACATTTAGATTAGTAAAAGCACTATAAAATGTTTCTATTCAGGCAGCACTTATTGGTTCATCTGGCTTTTTGAGACTCACAGTCTGCATGATTATTTTCCTTGAGGGGTACATGGGCAACTGTGATGCATACCTCATTAAAAATGTGACACTACCATATAATTTTGATAAGATTGTTAAATAATGGAGAATGACTTCTTCCCATTCTATTAAGTGAGTTCTGCACAGTGGTGCTATCAACTAGTACCTTGACATGCATTTTTGAAGCAGATTTTTATGGTAACATGAGTCGAAAATACCCAGCCAGTATTTCTGAGTATTTGATATAATGTTCACTCCTCCAGTTTGCATGCTATTTATGACTCGCCACCAACCCACTGCGGACATAACCATGTGGGTCTGGTCTATACATCAGATTGTTAGATATTTCTGATATTTCTACATTTTATTTCTACCATTGCAGCTCTTTTTTCCACTAGGGCACAACTGCATGGGGTTAGCATAGTTCCCTTTTCTATAATTTAGGGCTTGAGCTATCTCAGTCTCACCCTCTGTAATCTAAAAGTACAAGAGCCCATATATTACCTAAAGGAATGTGGACATGATAAACCCAATAACCTGGGAAACCTCTGATAAGAGATATTCTACCACCAAGTATGTGAGTAACAGCCAACTTCAGATTTTTTGCTTTCTCTAGTCTAAATGCATGAAACAGCCATAATTATTTAGTTTAGAATGAATACAAAATATTCAATGATTTGTAATATTTTTGTATCTAATAGCGTCGAGTCAACGCATTTATAGCTAACACATTGTGTCGCTAAGAAATGCCAATGCATCATTATTCATTGTGAAATTTGTGATCAAGTTGATCAATTTTTTTTCTGCCGTCTGGCAATTCTTTACTGCGCATTAGTACTAATTTATCAGTCGCAAGTGTTTTTGAGTGTTAACAGTGCGGATGTAGTTGTGTTTTTATGGTCAGATTTGTCCCATATTTCAGCGTTAAAGCTAGGAACAAAAAATTTACACTGTTTCTACGTCTGGAGTATTCATCCCATTTTTCTTTTTGCTTTGCTTCTGGCAGTTTTGTTGATCATAGTTTGTTGACAATATTAGCAAGTTGCTCGTTATATTGTCTACAACGTCCTCTTCTTGCTCAAAAATCGTGTAAGATTTTTTAAAGCAAGGCGGCGTCGTGTTTCTGCGACGCTCATATTGCCTTCATTTGCCGAGTCGGCATCACGTTCATTTCGTCGCTGCAATTCCTTTGCATTATAGTAAATCTAAGTTTTTCTACTTCAATTTGTGAAGTCCGACGTTTTTACTCGGTCCTTCTTTTATGATACGTTTCTGACTATTCGATTTTAGTCGTTTAATGGAACAATCCATGTTAGGTTTTATCGTGACATTTACTATCTCCACTTTGTCGACAAGATTAGCCAGCACTTCTGGCATGGACTTCCCTGTTGTCGCTTCATTCATACCGCTTGGCTCGTCTTCCAACAACCATCTTCCAATTCGTCATTCGATGTAATTTTCTTTTATCTTTCGTTGCTATTTTATTCGGTTTAAGAAAACTAACAACCGTACAATCGAGAACTACGCGGGCAACTGATTCCTCGATCTGCGTGCGCATATCTCATATGACTCCTTAGTGACGTAGTCGAATGACGAAATACAATTGATTCCCCTTGAACGTATAAACGCGTGGAATCTCAAGTCCGTACCCAGCTCCGCGATTTATTCGTTTTCCATTTACTGTAGCACTTGAAGAGTTTGATGCACGCTTCAAAAATTTGCTCACGTACTTAGCCATGTTTTTGAGTATATGACCAACAATATCAACACTTTCATTAACTGTATTGACATGAAATACGACGTTGGTTTCTGTTGATCCCTGTGATGATTTAACAATTGCCACAGCGTTTGAATCTTTTTTTTTCTGGTTCCCATCTTAACTCATATTTTTCGTTTATTTTTGGTTCCCAAATACCCATTTATTCATGGTATACTCGTATGAATGATTCTACGTTAATGCAAGTGTCCATTTTTTCCGTGCATGTGTTTATAACACCTTGTCAAGATTACACGTGTACAGACCTAATACGCGTGTAATATATCATCACAGACAATCTGTTTAAACATCAACAAAATATACGCTGAGAAGAAGGTTCATCATGTCCTGCACTGTTTGCAGAGCAGCGACATCTTATGTATGTATATTTTGTGAACAGCCTGTGTGCAACAAATCGACATCGTGTTCTCGTTTTGCTCCAGAAAACGTCAAAAGGATGGGTGGCTGGTTTCAAAGTGGCTTCATGTCGAAAATGGTGGGAGGAAGTTGAACAGCACCAACAAATAAAATTAACAGCGCAAAAGGCCACTAAAAATACAAAAAACGAGAAGCACAAAAACTAAGATGTTAGCTCATCTCAAAGCTCGCACTTTTTCAACAATTCTCAAGAATAAAGAATCCATTCAAGATGAGACAAGTCGTGTAGCTAGTCAGGCTATTCGGAAAAGGCAAAATCCACAGAAATTTTCAGACATAAACGAAGAGAATCTAATGTTCTTGTGAGTGGTCCCATGCTGCAAGAGGAAGCAAAACTCATTGCCCAACATCTTAGTGATAATGAATTTCAAAGTTCAAACGGATGGCTTGAGAAATGGAAGAAAAGGTACAATATCAAGGAAATGAGAATCACTGGTGAGGACGGTGATGTCAGTGAAGAAACGCTTAATAGCTGGCAGGAGCGTGTCAGGGAGTTGACAAAGGGATATGTGTATGAAAGTGTGTAGCATATGCAGGGGCGGATCTAGAGTATGTCAAATCCGTCGCGCGACTGACGTTTGAAATTCAAAAATTACCTATTCATATTAATTAAAAACATTAATTATTATTACTTTATTATCGCATTTACTTTGTGATAAAAATCCAGCTTTATTTATTATTGAAAACTAATGACTAATCCAACGAATATCTCGTTGGTAACCAGATTAGTTGAATTTTAATTGACCTGGAATAACCTACTGATAAGCGGGGTGGCTTGACTGGTTCGACGGATAAAGGAGTCTATGAACGCCAAAAACGCTTATTTTATTGGTCAATGGCCAGATCAGTGGACAGTCTGGAATGGTCTCGACTGATATAGGGGTGGCCGGACGTATAAGGGAGTCCAATTGCTATCTTACAATTGGTTCATTTGAATTTTTGTTTTATTGTGATTGGTTCGACGGATTTCGACTGATAACCAACTGAACTAACATAGTCAAGCTCACTGTCTGAATTGAATGTTTGATCGTTTCATAGTAATTTTTATAAGCATGATAGAAACTAAACTACAATCAGATGGAATTTATGGAAATCTTTTACAAATTCATATATTGACATGAATGCTGCTGTCCAAACCGTGAATTTTTTCAAGAGGGTGAAAAATTTATGGATAAATTGTAAATGCTTGGCAAAGACGATCTCGCGAGCGACATTTCAGTCATTGATGTTCAAAAGAAAGCCAACATTGTTTTGAGTTTTATCAGCAGAAATTTACATCCAAAATCGTAAGTAAAGGACAACTGAAGTGTATGCATGAATGTAATATATCAAAGTCAATTTATGCGAGTGTGTGATGCGATTTATGTCAATATGGCGTATGGTAAGCAGATTGATGCTTCTAAAATTGTTGTTGCCGACGGACTTTTATATGGAAAGCCATAGTGGACAAAAGTAGTCGAGAATTTTTTGGAGTCGAGTTTTTTTTTTTTACAGTCGAGAATTTTTTTTTACAGTCGAGATTTTTTTTTACAGTCGAGATTTTTTTTTACAGTCGAGATTTTTTACAATCGAGATTTTTTACAGTCGAGATTTTTTATAGTCGAGAATTTTTTACAGTCGAGAATTTTTTACAGTCGAGAATTTTTTTACAGTCGAGATTTTTTACAGTCGAGATTTTTTTTTACAGTCGAGATTTTTTTACAGTCGAGATTTTTTTTTACAGTCGAGAAGTTTTTTGCAGTGTCAAGAATTTTTTGGCAATTAAAAATCAAAAACTAAGTCTGATTATAAACTTTGAGAAAGATAACGAAACTTTTTCATTTCATTACTGTGGTTTTATTAGAAATGTCAAACGTCTCAAGAGCTGTCGACGAAGATTTAGAAAATTTGTTATTATCGATACAACACTGTATAGAACGTATAGATAGGAACGATATTCTTGGTAACTTCAATTTTTTAGAACATTTATGTGATCGCCTTGAAGGACATATTCGAATAATAATGGCCATCTCCTTAGTCCTTAGAAATCAACAACATCCCATATCGCCGCTCATAGCAAACTTACTCAATATATTAAGAGAAAAACTTTAATTTCTGCGAACACAGATTACTTTATGTAATGAGGAAGTTGCGATACGTTGTAGAATTCCAGTCCCGCAAGAAGCAAGCTCTGGAGGCAGACGTAGATACATTGTTACAGCAGACCAAATTGAAGAATTACGCAGTACGGGTACGAATTGGAAAGCCATTGCCAGTTGCCTTGGAGTGAGTGCCAAAACTCTTTACAGAAGAAGAATAGACTATGGTATAGCAAACACTTACTGTGACATAACAGAACAAGAGCTTGAACGATACATTAGAGATATTTTAAGATTGACACCCTTCTCTGGCGAAACTTACGTAAGAGGAGCTTTACGTGGTCGGGGTATTCATATCCAAAGGTGGAGAGTTAGGGAAGCATTAGAAACTATTGACCCTATTAACCGTGCCATAAGACGAAGATACGCTATACAAAGGCGGGTGTACAATGTGAGGAAACCAAATCATCTCTGGCACATTGACTCCAATCACAAACTCATCACTTGGAGATTTGTCCTGCATGGTTGCATCGACGGCTATAGCAGAACTATTATTTATTTGAAATGCTTCACGAACAATCTTGCGCATACTGTTTTGCAATGTTTTGTCAATGGTGCACAAAGATTTGGGATTCCATCTCGCGTACGTGGCGATAGGGGGGTGGAAAATGTACACGTTGCACGGTTTATGATAGCTAATAGAGGTCTAAACAGAGGAAGCTTCATAGCCGGACGCAGCGTGCATAACCAAAGAATTGAGCGCCTTTGGGCGGAGGTGAATAGAGTGAGTTCCTCCTATTATAAAGATCTATTCCAATTTATGGAGGAAAGCGAGCTTCTTGATGCGCACGATGAAATCGATTTGTATGCTCTGCACCATGTTTACATTCCTGCAATACAAGCCTCACTCAATGAGTTTGTCAACCAATGGAATCATCATGGACTTCGAACTATGCGGAGTATGTCGCCCCTAGCACTATGGCGTTCTGAGCTTAATGAAACTGATTTAACAGACGTTAATATGGATAATGTAAATTTATATGGCATTGATCCTGATGGCGCGGTAGGTGATATCGAAACGGACAATATGGTTGTTGTCCCTGAAAATTAAGTTGAGTTGACCGAAGATCATGTCAATGAAATACGCCGCCTTGTTCCGGAACCTTTAAGTGATGACGGCAATCACGGAATTCACCACTACCTCACAGTTCGTCAATATTTGCAAAATATTTTTCAGGAACAATAGAAACTATTTAATGAAAGATTATTAGAATGAATTGAGCCTTAAAAATATACCATTTTATCAACAATCGTCGTAACTGCATTTCACATATTAGAACACAAACATATTGAACATATTAAAATTGATAACAGAACACTATAACAGAACATATTTGAACATATTAAAACTCTTGATAACAGAACACTATAACAGAACATATTTGAACACATTAAAACTCTTGATAATAGAACACTATAACAGAACAGTTTTATACGTACGTATACAGTATAGTATAACTTCAACCACAACATTGTTGTTTAATTGTTCGTCTTTATCCATTATCTATTAAACTATGTAAAATGACCATGCAGCTTCTCGTCGAAAAATGTTATTGAATTCCTCGGACAGTTCGTTGTATGACTGGTAAGTTGATGGTATTATCAGTAGAGGAGCACATGTGTGCGCAACAGGTCGACGTGCGTTTCCTGATTCATCACTAAATGCAACCTCGATTGAATCAACTGCAATGATGTTGCTACCAGTAACATAATGGAGAAAAACACTAATAACGTTGTCGTCAAGAGATTTAACAAACCGCTTTAAATGAGAGAAGCATTCCCGTTCGGCATCAGAGGCTGGGCTTGAAATAAAAAGCTTGCAAACCTTTTTCTGGTTTGGCTTTTTTGCTTCATAAAAACTCAGCAAACTCTCAACAGTTTCAAATTGCTTAAAACCTTTCAGTTGCTTCAGGATCGGTAACCATGCATTAGCCACGTATTTTGGACGCTGTATTATTTCTTGATGAGCTAACTCCTCAATAATTTTTGGCATCGAGCTCTTTTTAATCACCCTGCGGCACTTAAAACTTGAAAGCACGTCAGCTACATCTTCGTCCAATGACGGGTCGGGGCCTTCATCACTGATACTTCTTTTTAAAGTGTCACTTTCGTCCTTTGATATATATTGATGAAAAGACTCTACTAGCCAATCCTTAGGAATCGCGTCCTCCGAAAAAAGACAGGAAGCAATAAATGCACTGGACAAAGTAACAGGAAAATATCCAAAGTTAATAAATCCTGCAACAAGAATACGAGTAATACTTTTCCATTCACTCTGTTGGTAGTCACGACGTATAGCTGGGACTTTTTCGGAAGCACCAGTAGCCAGTGAGTTATAAAACTCTCTCCAAAATATGCTAAGCGCCTCTCGTTTTACACCAGAACCTCTTCCGTTTTCGATATCTCCTGCTTCGTCGATAAATACAATCTCTAGGCAACACGACAAAATACTTTCGTCCTTGAACGCAATAATCATGTCTGCTAACACATTGTGGCGGTTGATGGCGATTTCCTTAACCAAACGATTGTCTTCATGAAGCTGATTACCACTGTACAATTCACCATCTGCATCAATATTTACGTCTCCATCATCTTTCAAATCAAATAATATAGCACTTTTTACAATCACAAAAAAACAAAGATTTTTATCAGGCATAAGTAACAAATTTATTTTTATAACACTTTTGGTAAAAGTGAGTGATTGATGTCTGCAGATAAAATTTATCACAGTTTAATAAAATTAATAGTAGTACTAATAATAACAATAATAATGCAAGGACTAATAAGGATACTGATGGATAAATGCTAGGGTACTTGGGATACAATTAAAGATAACAGACAAAAAATATTCAACTAGTTTGTATAGTTTCTTTGGCATACTCTATATAAATAAAAATAAAAATAATACTGATGATGATGATGATGATGATGATGATGATGATGATGAATATTGTGGAAGACTTAAGGAAGATATAAGGATACATTTAACTATTTGTATTTCAAACAACATGGTTTTAGCGGTTTAATTGTTTTTATTATAAACTATTTAATGTAGTTGTGATTATTTGATTCTTTAACTGGGTCAATAACTTTAACAATGTCTGACTCATTTTATTTTCATACGCATGTAAACATCAGTTACCTTGTAAATCAAATGGTTCTTCCAAGTTTGTTTCAAACAATTCACACTGGTTGTTTTGCATTTCAGTAGAAGGTTCAGTATTGGTCATATCTGCATCAGCATCATCAAGCTGCTTATCATTAATGGCTTCATGTTGCTTCAAGGCTTCATCTATGACCACAGTAGCTTGATTTGTTTCTCCAAATTGAACTTGATTTGCTTGACAAATTACAATATATGAATAAGTGTTTATGACAAATACTGAAATATAGACATTACACAATTTTGCTCCTTTCAATGTATAAAAAGCTCTATATTATATATTTTAATCTTTTTTCATCTCAAGAACACATATATATACTGCTATAATTATATATATACTAATTATTTATATAATTAATATATATACTACTGAATTTTCATAAGATTTTACTAAAACAATAAAAAGAATATTTTCTCAAATCCCACCTTGAAAATTGTTAGTTAAGATTTCATTAAGACTTGAATCATTTGATAGCCTCCATAATTCATCATCCTCAACATCGTCAAACACATTTTCTGGAAGACCTTTACCTTTTTTATTTGTAGGCTGATTTAGGGTTTGTCTACATGGCCTAATATAAACTGGTTTGTTGTTGCTAAAGATTCTGTTGATTACAGAACCACTCTTTGTGAAATTCAAACGCACTGATGATGTGTCCATTTTCCTGCAGAAAAACTTTTCCTCCTTGACGAGGTACATTCTTGTCATCTGGACCTGATAGTGAGATAAGATCACGGGAGAATGGCCCAGTACTAACTTTTTTCGATTTAGAACATTTTCTCCGACGATTTGATCTCATAGTTGACCGTTGGTCACCGAAATATCTTCTGGTATTGTAGGAAGGAGTTGCCAGATGTGAAGAGGAAGCTGTGACGGATGCATGATTTGTGCAGTGCGACTGCGTTGTATTACTTGGTTGATTTACTTCCATACCTGATGATGATGAATGTTGTCCAAACATCTTTCTTACTTCATTCTCAACCGAGTCGTGAACTTCAACACTAGCATAGTTATTGGAAGATGCCTCGGTACTTGCCAAGGCATCCGACAATTCTTCGATACGGTTAAATATTTGCGAAAGTATCTCTTTTGCGCCTGATGAAGATTCAGTCGCCATATTGTTTTTAATGCGCCTATAAACGCGGAAAAAATTGTTGCGAAAAAAATGTCGACTGTAAAAAAAAAATTCTCGACTGTAAAAAAAAATCTCGACTGTAAAAAAAATTCTCGACTGTAAAAAAAAATTCTCGACTGTAAAAAAAAAACTCGACTCCAAAAAAATTCTCGACTACTTTTGCCCACTATGGCTTTCCATACTTTTAGCTATGATTTCTTTAGTGCTTGGGGAATCGTGGCCGTTATATGGCAGCGAAATCATATATTCCTGCAAATATATTTCAATGGACAAAAAATCTGTAGCCATAAGGCGCCATACTATTATTTACTTTATCATAAACCAATGTTTGGGGCTTTTCAGTTTATGATCATTGATCATTCAATCATTGGACAGTTATACTACACATTGTTTAAGATTTGAGAAAACTAACATTGATTACATGAGAAGCTGTTTACTATAACCTGTGATTTTGAGTCTTCTGATCCATGAAGCTTTTTATTTTGACAATTTGACTGGAATCGTATTAAACCTGAGTATTTCAAATACATGAAATGTTGTCCCATGTCACATATTGTCCCCTTTTCTAACTGAACACCACATGTAGAGATGTAAAGGTCGGTTAATCTAGGGCTCATACCAGATTGTCTGCCATAAATTCCAAAGGGCTATTGATGTATGAAAAGCATTTTCTATAAAGTAAAAATGTCTTCCTATGTATGCAGATAAACCTTGAAATTTGGCAAAACAGCAAACTATTTTTCATGATCACTAGGTAATTTTTCTGATGATCATTATAATTTCTAAACTAAATTATTTCAGATTTACATTTAAACAAGCTTTGATCTTATGAAAAGATATTTATCATAACCAGTAAGCATGACACATGAACCAATTTTAACATTTATGTAATTGCAAAATTAAAGACATGTTGGTTACATTCTGTTTGTATTTGCAAATACAATGCTACTAGTGATTGCTATATAGCACACCTTGCATATACTTACAGAAGATAATAGTCTAGTGAAATGCCTAATAAACATTTATGGCATTAAATTGTCCTTAACTGCAAATTTTCACTCTGATAATTTTTGCTTAATCTTTGGCAGAAAAAAAATTTTTAGTTTTTTCTCATAAGGTGAATTTGCTGGGACTGATATGGAGATGGGTGAAGGGTTACAATAAACTTACATGGTTTGAAGTCTGAGCTTTTCTATATGTATGAACTGTCACTTGTAGTACCAAATTTCTAACTTAACTCATTACATAGAGGTTTAAATGGGGGTCTCTAGGGGGGTCTATGCCTGACAACTTGGTAGAAATTTTTAAAAACTATATCTGTTTTTGAATAGCATTATTGTAAAATGAATTTTACGTTCCTAGACATGTTAATGAGCCATATATTTGGCATGATAATGAGCCTAAATATTTGGCAAAACATTCAAGTATTGTTCACTTCATTTTTTTTTGAAAAACACGTAAGCAAAATGTGTTGTTTTTACGCAAAAACGATGCCCACAAAATACATTTTGTATTGCTCCTAAACGCTGAAAATGGCATTTTCAAGGCTCTGAAATTCAAAATTTCTCAGGGGAGAATGCCTCAGACCCCCCCAGGTGCGTAGCGCCTTCGACGTTTTATGACTGATGTTTGAAAAATCCTAGATCCGCCCCTGAGCATATGGACGAGACTGCTCAGTTCTGGAAAGCGCTTCCAGAAAAGTCTTTCTGACGCTGGAAAAAGATGTCGAGGAGGAGAAAAAGCAAAACAACGGTGCACATGGGCATTTTTCGTTAATGCCATTGGCGATAAGAAAAGAGCCTGTTGTAATTGGCAAGAACGAAAAGCCAAAATGCTTTAAGCACTTAAAGGACAAAACTAAACCATGCAAGTGCCGCTATTTCGTTAACTCGAAAGCAGGAATGAAGACTGAGATTATGTGTTGACTAAATTGAATGGACGATTAAAATTAGTCAATTTTAGACAATCATTCTGTTCCTTGACATTTGACAATGCACCCTGTCATCCGCATGAACTTAAGGTCAGTTTTCGAATGTTTCTCTGACCTTTTTGCCAAAAAATACAACATCGAACACACAGCCTCTAGATGCCGGAATAATTGAATTGTGGAAGACTAGACGAAAGTTGCTTCGCTTTGTATATGTAGCAAAGTAGGTCAAGAAAATGCAAGTGTGATTGTGAAGTCTGTTCATCTTCTTCAGGCTATTCAGTGGGGAAAACAAGCTTGGGATGAAATTTACTCTGAGACAATTCAAAAATGTTTTTGCAAAGGTGGGAATGTACCCAGGAAAATTAGGCGATGATGACGATGATGATCCCTTTAAAAGTGAAGAGATGATTAATTTGAATGAGCTAAGCTTGATAATTAGTAATGACTGCTGTGCTGAGCAATACATTGATGCAGACGACTATGTCCCATTCTGCGATAGTTCAATCAACATCGAAGATTCCAACTGGCAACGAGAGAAGACCTTGACAACGACAAAGGCGCCTTTGAACAAGAAGGCGATGATTTCGACGTGCCTTTGAAAGAGCCCGAAATTAAAACAACTACCATAGGAGAAACTGGAGCAGAAAATCTTTTAGATTTCGCGTATTTCAAGGGCAACGAAGAACTTTCCCAAGCTGTACTAAAAGTTAATGACATTCTTACAGACATGTGTGATGCGGGAAGAAAGCGAGTTCTCATCACAAATTTTTTCAAACCATCTTAGTTCAACTAAATAGTCTAATGTCCATAACGGCAATATAGATATTAAATCAGTTATGTTTACATGTTATCTAGAGACACAAAGATTTTATGGTGCAGTTTTTGACTTAATACTAGCTATCAAAGTATATTTATCATTCAAAACATTAAAAGAATTGATTACAAATCGCTGTGTTACATAAATAAAAAAACTCTAAAAATCTGTTTGGGGTCCTCCAAAACAAAGTGTGCCAACCAAGTTACTAGGCAATTTGTAAAATATGTGCGAAATTCGTTTTAATATAGATGCAAAACCAGGACAGTTCTGGACAGTTGCAAAACCATCACGTTCAAGCCAATCGATTGTCACAGCCCGATAATGTTTATACCACTTATAATAGAAGACCAGGCTCTCCACAGCCACAAACAGGTCACCCTCAAAGAACTAGACACACCAAGACCTGGACATCTACTGACCGCAACAACCTGGGCACCTACTGACGCCAAGATACCCACAATATCCGCAAGGACTTGGATATCCACCAATTCCTCAACCTGGGTATTCAACTACATCTGGGTCCACACTATTTCAAACTGGTGCAATAACACAAAGTGGCACCCTTAAAATTATGAGTTTATATTTTGTAAAGATACAAAAAATGCAAAAACCTGCTTTGGGTCCTTCCTAGTAAGATTCGGTCTTAAAGTGGCATTTGGCAACCGGACTACAAACAATAACGACAATTGAAGATCGAAGAACATATTTGTAAAATGCGATGAGAAAAGAAGTATCTTCAACAACAATAAGACAACGACTTCTGGCAAGAGGCTACAAACTTTCCAGTTGGTGTAAGTATGCTAAGAGCTGGTCAGATTGGGCTATGGAAAAGTGCAGTTTTCAGATTAATCAATTGTTGAAGCCAATCATCGAAAAAAAATTGTCAAACATGGGCTGTCATTCAGAATGTTTTGTTTATCATCGAGGATTGCTTGGAAACAATAAAGAAGAAGTTATAGATGAATTACAACAATCATTATCGACAAATGGGTTGACACTGATGGCCATTACACCGAACCAAGATTTTTTAACGACTCAGCGACATGTGTGTGTGTTGTAGGGGAGAGGGTATATAGCCACCATGTCTCCACGTTCCGCGTTCTCATCATAGTTCACGCGACACGGCATTGCCCGAAGAACTTTTTATCATGCGCAAAGTCTGTCAAAGGTATTAAAAGAGTCCCCCCCCCGCCGAATGAATAATAAAGACGACTATTAATCGAGATGCAACTTTAATGTTTCAATCAAAAAATTGAATGCATTGTTTACATTTTTATTAATACAGTTACTTTAAATAGCATTAATACAAGTCTTGTGCAACTAGATCAAGTAACTTTATTGTGATATGCACGATCGAGACTAGCTCCAAACGCCATGTTCAAGCTTTCAAAATAACTTTTAAGCGAACAAAAAAACATAACATTGAAATATTTCAGGATTCTTCCACACAAGTTACATGACGCACTAGGATATCCTTGTCATGGACATAAAAAACTCTCTGGTATAAAATAGCAGATTAAAAGAAAAAAATAAAAGCATCAAACATGTCGGATTACCCGTGGGGATAATTTTCTTTTAAACAAATCTTTACCAAAATGCACATTATAGTTCTATTGCTCAGTCTCGATCGATGAACTCCGGTTGTCCATTAGTTACGATGCTAATAAACATCTCGTCAAAGAGTTTTCACATGTCAACGAGCATCATGGTGAATTCTAATAGCAATTACTTTGAAAAACCCAAGAAAATTCACCAATGATTCGTCGCACGCCGCCACTTAACGTAAGAAACTTACACATGAAAACAAAATCACAACAAATCTTTATAGCTATAAAAGTTTGCACAACGATTCTTTACAACACGTGAAAACCTGTTAAATATCATGTGAATTCTCCGTATTTTATCGTCATCGAGAAAAATAGAGAACAACCTGAAATTTACCAAGTTCTACATGCGCAAGCTCATAAAGCTACTGCCTAAAGTTATTAGTACATACTATTTAGCCATTAAAAGGAATTTGAAAAAAAATAGAAACCTGCAACAACTTCTTTTCTCAACGAAAGAACTCAAACTTTAACCTCCAAACCAAGAGGGGGACAACTTTTCCATTATCTTCCATCTCCACAAACCTACCTCTTCCCACCAGGTGGGGCGTGGGAGCCCTGACCTGATGCCCGCGGGAGTGCTCCCGCGTGCCTGCAATCAGGCAATTAGTACTGAGAGGCGTAGTTCGGTTGGCTGAAATCAGGCAGGGAATTCATATAACCCTGGTCGCCCTGATACGTAGAATCCTGAGACAGCACGGCATCGCCTTGGGATTTTAAATGATAATCTTCAGCCAAATAACTGTCCTGTAATGAACAAATACAGACAGATTACAAGGCATATGTTAAATCGGTCATCACCAAATGAATTCTTCATACTCAAAATATTGAGTGAAACACTTGCTCAACTGAAACGGAGATTGTGTAACCACTTTGTGCAACAATTTTCCTTATATCTTAGCAATAACTTAGCTTATGAGAATATGAGAAAACGATACGTATGTTAACGGCTGAAAGGACCGTACTGAAAAAATATTTTCATGACGTCTCAAAAGCGACCAGAGGCCGAGCAAAATATTTTTCATTAAGGACCGACCTAAACAGTAACAATTTTATTTTATTTCTTTCACAATGAAGTATTTCACTTTGTAAAATGGCAGCTGTGAGTTGTTGAGACCAAAAAGTTCACTTTGTCCGGACATTAAAATTCAATCGCACTATGTTAGCTAAATAGCATTTTGCTTCATCCTTACACATTTTGCATGGCTTGTATATCAATTTAGAAACTCCACTTTGTAAACAAATCTATGGCAAAAAATAACATTTTTTGACCACGGTCAATATATCGTAAAAAAGCCGCTGGTGGCTGAAGCCAATCAGATTGCCATCCTTTGCAACATCAGGTCACCGCTAAGACATTTGGAAAAATTCACGCAGTAGATACAACAACGTCACAGAAGTTCAACCGTGTGTTCCAATGTGCCTCAACACTTCAGATTTTGTCTTCGCTAACTAATATACATGAAAAATTTTCTCAATTCTGATTGGTTAAGAGCAGTGCAATTTATCGTAAACACAGGGCAAAAATGCGAAACACCGGGGAATTAATTTTCGAAAAATGTGCTCCTGATTGCTTGCTCAAACAAAGAAGTGATCTAAGAGCCAATCAAAATAAAACATTTGAAAAGCAGGAAAGTTCAATTAATGTAAACAAAGCAAATACAATGGCCGGCATAAGTTTTAAGTAAATTTTCTTTGGCGAACGAGTTTCAAGTTCACCATTTTAAAGATGTTTCTGGATACAAATATGAACACTGCTAAAAGTAGATGACTTGTTCTAGCAGTGTATGTGGAAACTATGGTGTTGTGAAAGTAATATCCGACGGAATTGAAATATACGAGCCAGTCGATATTTATAACTTGCCGGCTGAAATGTACGTACGCTGTAGTTATAAGTCAAGAGAATTGAGAAATTTTTTCACGTATATTATTAATAAGTAATAGCATGGTTTCTCGTGCAATTTGGAAAACAAGCACTCGTCCTTCAGACTTGTGCAATTTTGATAGTCTTTGAAAAACAACTTGTGCATGTTTTTTTTCCCAAATCGCACTCGAAACCATGCTATTGCATATACAAAGCACGCATACTGCGTGCTTTAAAATTACCACAACGATTAACTTATTTATGCCATTTGAATTTTACCTGAGACAACTCCGGTTGTGAGAGTGGTTGTGACGCCATTGGTTGACTCATTGACATACCACCTTGAGTCAATGGCCCTTGGGACAGTGGTTGTGAAGCATCCTGTACACGAAAATTAAGAATTAAAACGAGACCGGTTAACGCAAACTAAAGTTAACTCAATCCATACAAACCCTACCTCTAACCATGACTAGTCATACACATACAAAAGACTACCTTTAACCATGACTAGTCATACACATAAAAAGACCACCTTTAACCATGACTAGTCGTAACACATACAAAAGACTTCCTCTAACCATGACTAGTCATACACATACAAAAGACTACCTTTAACCATGAGCAGTCATACACATACAAAAGACTACCTCTAACCATAACTAGAAATACTCATTCAAAAGACTACCTTAAATCATGAATACTCAAAAATTTTCAAAATTCGACTAAAAAATCGGTTAAACATTCCCACAGTTGATGATTTGAAAGACTATTTTGAACCCATATGGTTACTCCGTTAATCATACCTGACTAGCCTGACTGGTGTTCATATGGGCAGCATAAGGCGTGTGATTAGATTGATGACGATTGCCAGAACCTTGACTACGGTTGCTACGATACTGATTTGGGACATGTTGTTGTCTTACACCTGCCATTGGACGACCTTGCATTGCAGCCTACAATATATGGTGATTCCTCTCATCACAAATTATTAAAACACAGGAAGTGACCTTTCTCGTGCGTCGTAGACGAAATAATTTAAGCCTTTTTACATATCTGCTATACCGGAGATTAGTCAGGCGCGAAAAAGATTCGGATAAGAAAAATCTCTTACAATTATATTAAGTCTCTCCGCCTAGAAAGTCTCTCGCTATTATTCTGAACAAACGATTAGTCCCTAAATAGTTTCAATCACGAATGAATCCAAGATGATTTTGTAGGGAGAGTGCTTTCAGTTGAAATAAGATTTTGATGGCTATTTCATGGAGGTCGCCGTGCCACGTCACTCTTTTTAAATTCTGTTACTCTTATATCATGATTGAGAGATATTTTTTGGATGCGTGCTCCGTCAAACACAAAATCCAATTGCTTTTGCATAATTTTGCTTGATTTGTCAGTGTCTTTTGAGGAAATCTTCCACCCTTCCCAAACCACTCTATCCAAGGCTGGGGGTGTATACGCCTCTTTATCCCTCAAGTACATCCAACTCTGGTTTTAACTGAAAATAATTTGAAGTACTTTTGAAGTGACTTAGGAAGGCTATAACATTTAATTAGAAAGACCTTTTGCTAAAGAATGTGTGTCAACTAAGATACATTTCGCCTTAATTACAGCAATTGAACAAAAATACATCTCGAACGACAACTCCTATAGTTTTGTCCCATTATTGGCTGAACCCAAACATGCAACTAAATTTTAATCAACTCCCCCTTGAAATAATGCGTGTTTTTTTAGGGGCCGATGTTTATTTTGTTTCTTATCAGTAAAAAAACGTGAAAAAATGCTTAGTGTCGTTTTTTGTGTGTAGCCACAGCAAATCACAATATCAAAAACTTGCAGCTTTGCAAGTCATCGCAAACATCAATTTTATTTCGTTTACGTCGAATAATACGTGAAACTTGATGCACCTGTTATGTACACTCTGGTCACAGTGATTTGGTGAGTAAAACAAGAAGGAGATAGGAAATAAACATAATTTCTTGTGAGTCTTAACGCATCACGTAATCTTCACGGTGTAGCTTAACATGAACTCATAATGACAATGCATCAAAACACACAACACATGTTTAATACGGTGCAACGCATTGTTTAAGTATTGCTCGGTTCACTATGGTCACAGTTCTCTGTGTTTTTGTGTTGAATTAAAAACAAAAAGCAATTCAATCTGTTTTTCTTTCGAAACTTAATCACAAATAATATCTTTACCATGAACATTAAGTCGTTATAAAATGAAATCTGAAATGTTTCAGCTGGTCACTTCATTTGTAATGTGCTAAGCCTTTCTGCGTTGAAAGCTTAAACAATCATCAATATTTGTAATCAGTACAAAACTATTTAAAAATACAATGGGAAAATGACCAAACAGCACAGCGCCCATTAGCCCAAAATTGCCAAACATATATATGTATCGCTTCAGTTTAAATGTAAATAAATAACATGTCATATCGTGAGTTGATTGATCGGTTGAGTAAACGACATATTACATATCATACACGCCAGAAAATTATTTTGACAGACAAGCTGTTGACAATTTAGAATTTATACCAAAAAATGTTTTTCAGTAAAAATTTCAATGAATTATATACTTCTAAATACATGTGAATTCATATTTATATCAACTTACGATGTAAGCACGTGAGCTAAGTCGCGTGACATCAAATATATACAGGAGCGTTCGAGAATTGGTGTGAATTTCACAACGATTGCGGTCTTTTTCCATGAAATATAGACATTAAAACGTGTACCCAAGTCCTATAATTTAGAACGCCTTCTACTTTTTCTGTTGTGTGCACCCCTGATTCAGTAAGGGTTATATATACGGTAGTATGTTGTGTAGCAACCCACATGTACTTATTTTTACACATTTTGTGCTTTAACATTAAATGTAACATAATTAGTTTATGCCACAGAAAATATTTTCGAGGAGAAACACATTAAGCAAGAATCGACGACGATCGATCGACAAACAAATACAAGTCTACAAGACGGAACTGAATAAATATGAATGCCATATAAATCATATTTGAATATTCATAGCATTTTGTACAACCTTTTCGTGAATGATTCTTGTCGTTTTAGGTTTTAATAATACTCCAGTGATATATTTTTGATGACACAATTTTTATTGTTTATTTCACGATTGTTTTCACATCAACTGCCAAGCTTATCGGCCTGCCGTGATATGCATAGTTCTCATTTTCTTTTTTATTTGTTTTACACATACGTAATAAGACTGGAGCTTTGCATCATTGAAATATGTTCTGGATTTTTATGCATTTATATCAATAAAATAGCTTTTTAGGAACAGTTTTTGCGAAGATCTTTCACTTCTCTTTGCGACACTGAGCTATATGTATATTCGCAGTCTGTGCATTTTCATGTCATGAAAAAATGCCTCCAAAAAACATTTTTATCTTTAGTAAATTGCTCAATTTTTACGAAACTTTATAGGCTTGTGTATATAACATGGAACTACAATATTAATAGGCGGTTTGAACTTTTAGGTATGCCTGCAACTTTTAAAACTCGCGCGGATTTTTATTAATTTTTGTCTTTGCTTTCAAATTTCTCAGCAATACTATGACTTTTGGCCGATTTTTTTCGACATTCTATCATTTTGACTCATATTCTTTACTTTCGATGATATTTTGAAATATTATCGCAACGTTTACATTCAAATTTAATAAATATAAAAATGCTATTTTTTGAAAATTATTTTATTAAAGCACTGGCGCGACCTGCAAGAATGAAAAAATCTGGCTTCTATTTACTCCCCTGACTGATCGATCCAGATGCATTGTAGTTCAATGATCACAGCATAACGGCCATTTTGTGGGTCAAGAAAATGGCGGATTTTGATATTGTACTCAATGCGACTAAGAACTAAGACAAACGATAATAATCGTCAATAAACATTATCAATCGAGTTTTGATAATGTTTATTGACGTAGTGATGTAATTGAATTCAGTGCGACGCAAGCTTAAAACCTAACGACGTAAACATACACAGTGCAGCGCAGGGCATATTGGTTGACACAAATTCATTAAGCAGCAGAAATATTTTACTAATGCGAAGTGGTGCGAACATCCCAAACACCAGACAATGCAGAGTAGTAAAACAATGACTTACTTGATTGTAATAGTTATGAGGGGGTTGTGGGGGCATCGGGGGGATAAACATCCCAACTGGAATAGGAATGTTACCCACAGCTGCAGCAACTGTCCTTTCAGCTCCAATATAACCCATGCGATCATGTGTCCGGTAATACGCATCCTGATAGGTTGCCGTTGGATCCATTTGCGGGGGAAATCCGTGGCCAATAACCCGACCGGGCATAAGAGCCTCGCGAGCATCAAACATAGTGGAGCTCATGTACCGGCCACCCTGTGATTATCAAATATATTATTACGTATAAAATATCTAGCATAATTTAAATGGATAGAAGAGAATGTACCTAGTGTACAATCTACTCAACACACCTATTTTTACATCAAACATGCCTAGGCTATATTTACAATCACCCCTAGGCTATGCTTACAATCACCCCTAGGCTATACTTACATGCCTAGGCTATACTTACATGCCTAGGCTATACTTACATGCCTAGGTTATAGTTACATGCCTAGGTTATAGTTACATGCCTAGGCTATACTTACATGCCTGGGCTATACTTACATGCCTGGGCTATACTTACATGCCTAGGTTATACTTACATGCCTAGGTTATACTTACATGCCTAGGCTATACTTACATGCCTGGGCTGTACTTACATGCCTAGGGTATACTTACATGCCTAAGCTATACTTACATGCCTAGGCTATGCTCACATGCCTAGGCTTAACTTACAAGCACCCCTAGGCTATACTTACATGCGTAAGCTACACATACATGCCTAGGCTATACTTACATGCCTAGGTTATAGTTACATGCCTAGGTTATACTTACATGCCTAGGCTATACTTACATGCCTGGCTATACTTACATGCCTGGGCTATACTTACATGCCTAGGTTATACTTACATGCCTAGGCTATACTTACATGCCTCTATACATGCCCTATACTTACATGCTCATACTTACATGCCTAGGTTATACTTACATGCCTAGGCTATACTTACATGCCTAGGCTATACTTACAATCACCCCTAGGCTATACTTACATGCTTAGGCTATTCTTACATGCCTAGGCTATACTTACAATCACCCCTAGGCTATACTTACCTGCCTAGGTTATACTTACATGCCTAGGCTATACTTACAATCACCCCTAGGCTATACTTACATGCCTAGGCTATACTTACATGCCTAGGTTATATTTACATGCCTAGGCTATACTTACATGCCTAGGTTATACTTACATGCCTAGGCTATACTTACATGCCTAGGTTATACTTACATGCCTAGGCTATACTTACATGCCTAGGCTATACCTACATGCCTAGGCTATACTTACAATCACCCCTAGGCTATACTTATAATCATCCCTAGGCTATACTTACATGCCTAGGCTATACTTACATGCCTAGGCTATACTTACAATCACCCCTAGGCTATACTTATAATCATCCCTAGGCTATACTTACATGCCTAGGCTATACTTACATGCCTCGGCTATACTTACAATCACCCCTAGGCTATACTTACAATCACCCATAGGCTATACTTACATGCCTAGGCTATACTTACAATCACCCCTAGGCTATACTTACAATCACCCATAGGCTATACTTACATGCCTAGGCTATACTTATAATCACCCCTAGGCTGAAAGAGAACTCACCGGGTTAGTTTTGTTCACCAGTTTTCTTGGTTTACTAAACTGAATCATACTTTCTTTCATGTTGTTTAATGGACCTATATGAATCGAAGCAAATGCAGCAACAAAGCAATTGTAAGTTGAATTACCGAAGTAAGGTACTTGCTTCACGAATTTTGTCATAATCATTATTTGTTCAGAATTTTTTGCTTCCTTGGTTCGTCGACTGTATTTCTTAATAACTAATCAAGAAGCTGTTTACAATTAATTGTAACAGAGAAAGATGTAAAGTACAACAACTTGTAATTTTGTAATTTAGAGAAGGAAAAAAGAAAGGAGATTGTTTCAACCATGAACAGTACATGCCATGGTAGTAAAATAACAGGTACTGGTGAATGTTAGAAAGAGGAATTGCAGGTCCGAACTTTGAGTCAGGATCAAGTTTTGCTCATGATCTAATAACACACTCTTTACCTTCGACCAAAACTTTATTCTCCTTGTAATAGTTTAGCAAATGATTCCAAAGTTCTTGCTAAAACAACGACAATAAATGATCATCATTGCAAGATGATGAGCCTGATGAGCATTCGATGTAATTTTCAATGTTATTAAAGTATTTACCCGTGACAGTACTTTAGGATTTCCAACAATCAACGTTCCATATCTGAAGAAGAAAAATAAAAAAATGTCAGTTCTAGTTTACAAATTTTAAAGGCCAGAATGCATAAGGATGTAGATGACAAGCAGTCTTTGCGTATTGCACGATACTGATTTGCGAGCTCAACATATACATAGCAATGACCTAGAATCCAATCTACTAGATATCTGACTCCTCCAAAATTCTATAGCTACGAGTGAGGCAAGCCGCCATCTTAAAAGGTGGAAAACTGACGATATTTACAACTAATATCAGCTTTTGCTGAGTTGAAACACAGTTGCAAATTGAATAGTCTAGGTTAAATTTTTAAAATGTTTAACAGGATTGAGTTTTTAAACCTTCTTTTAGCTTATTTTGAGTTTTGCTTTTTGCCACCTTTCAAGATTGCGTCCTCGCCTCACATTGACGTGTCTGTAGCATTGAATAATAAATATACTGAAATGATAACGCCATTAAGAATGCCCTGTGATTGGATGAAGCCAACATACGTCTAAAACTTGTCTACTACCCCCTAAAACAATGCATATTTTCTTGGCGATCAATGTTTGTTTTTACTTTTGGCAACGAGAATTCCGTCAAAATTTTATTTCTTGTCGTTTTTTCGACAATTTTTAGCAAGATATCTACGTGGAAAAACGTAATCGACAAGAATCGAGGGTGATCCGACAAACTACTACAAGACGGAAAATGCTAAAAAATAGATAAAAACATTTTATTTGAATATTTTCAGTATTATACACATCTTTTTTATAAATACATCTTTTACGTGCATCATTGATGTCTTTTTACGTTTAAAAAATGTTCATTGGGTCTTTTAAATAAAAATATATTTTTCAGTTTCCCAGTGTTTATTTTATTTTTGGTTTTATATTAAAATGTAGCGCATCAAGCTTATTCTTGATGTGAGATGTGCTTATATTGTTTTCCTTTTTATTGCGTTTTTTACACTTAACATACAAAAATAGGACATTGTTTACATGAAATATGTTATTTGTATTTATACATGACATGAAAAAAGCTTTTTAAATAGTCTTTTTTGCGAAAATCTTTACTTTTCATTATGATACACTGAGCTATAAATGTACTTACAATGTTTGTGTTTTCGTGACATGAAAAATGCTTCTTAAAAAACGCATTATTCTCTTTATTCGATGATTCAAATTTTTGGAAACATTAATAGTTTGTGTAATTAACCGAGAACTACAATATTTTGGCCGTAGAAACAGGTAGGCATATCTAGAACTTCTAATAACTCAGAAAAAGCGAATATGTTCGCGCGGTTTTTTTTCCAAGTTTTTGTCAGATAATATTTCAGAAACTAAACGACATTTGTTCAATGTGATGTGGTTACTTGAGTGAAAAATTTGATGCCTCTACTATAGTCAAAACTAAATATTGAAGGTATTAAACAAACAGAAAAGGGTGAATTTCAGCGATATAAAAAGTTGTATTTTTTGTAAAACTAAGGTTAGAAAGGACTGGCACTACCTACAAAACACGGCTTCAATCCCCGGGTTATCATTCCAGTATACTTATAATTCAATAGTCGGTAGTACGACATCTAGGGGACTGGATTTTAGTTCATTTACACAAGATGTCCCTCCCGCCAAAAAAAAACGAAACCTATATGAACTAACTATGTATTGTCATACATTGATTTTCATCTCAAGTCTAATGCGCCAAAGCTTAGTAAAGTCAAGCCTGGTTCTAATAAAGTCGTCCGAGTCATTTCAGTCGTACCAAAATTTCACAGACGACCCGTGCGACTGTATGAGAACATTTCAAAGGCGACCGGGATGACCTCAAATGACTCACACGACTGAAACGACTAGGATCGCTTGGATAGAACTTTGCTCTATCCGGACGACGGAAACGACCGTTGAGAAATGCAAGCGACCTTTTTATGGCGAAAAAACGATTTTAAGAAGCAAACAACTAGCCAAAAGACTTTGTCTTTGATAAACAGCATCTGCCATTCTTAGATGTTTCGCGAAAAAACTAATTAAGCAGTCTCTCGGCAGCGCTAGTACGAATATATGAGAATTCCATAGCTTGAGTCGTTCCAGTCGTTTTGAAAAACAACGGAAACAACTCGAAACGACTCGGATGACTTAAGCGACTTAATGAGAACCAGGCTTAAAGTCGACAGTGACTAAGTAATAACAGCCACAAAAACGTAATCATATTTTTCACAATTTGCAACGAACATGGACAAACTAGCGTGTAACTAAAAATTAACTAGGCGGAACAAATAGCTATTGCAGACTAAATTGTCTTATGTAGATTTAATTTTTATGCATACATAATTATTTGTAGCAGAAGGGGAAGAGATATGGTAGGCAGTTGACTAAATATAAAAATTGATTTGAAAGCAAAAGATGATGATTCAACAACAAGTAAGTCTAATTTGCCTTGGTTGTTTCCTCATTGCTACACAACAGTGAATCATAACAAAGTAAAATACATCTGTCAAATGGATAAGGCAATTGCACCGTGTAAGTATCGTCGTGCGATCATAACACAAACGGATGCACGTTTCGAAAGCACGATCACAAAAAGATTTATAAAATACACTCACTTCGCACGTGTCAATGCTACGTTGAGACGACGGGGATCTTGCAGAAACCCAATACCCTAAAAAAAATGTGTTATGAGTGATATGAAGAGTATAAGGATAGACACATAAAACCATGGAAGGAAGAATGGCTAAAAACACCACATATTATAACCAAATATGGATTACCTGATGCTCGTTGGACCTGACACAAGAAAGTATAATGTAATCTTTCTCTCGGCCTTGGAATGCATCCACACTCGCTACCTCAATATCCTGAAGATGAAATTAAAATAAGTAATGTTCCAACCATAATCACACTCACTCGACAATTACCTGGTACAGATTCACGTGCATCGATCCACTGTACTGCATATACTGCACGATGTAGGCCCGTTGTCCCTCATACGGTGTTATCACCCCTATTTGACCAGGTTTAACACCTGCACGCAGGAATCGCGTGGCAATCTTTTCAACGGCTGCAGCTTCCGTTCTGCAAAATTATAGCAGGAAAATTTAGACATTCGTCGCCATGGTTTAAAATCTAACGGAGTGGTGTTTATAAACAGGTAAGTCGCGCCATTATTTAGATCGTTACTAAATTGTAGTGTAAGAACTCGTGTCTGATCAACATTAAGTCACACATGATGAGGACATTGGACTGGACTACATAAGAAATCAAGTTTCATCATTAGATCACACTGATAACTGTTGCAACGCATTTAGTGTACCATAGGTGAGAATGAATAAGATAATAAAGACAATGGTGACGATAAGGAGGAACTTGTTGCATAACATGCTTATTGTAATGATAACCTTGAAAGTAGCAGTTTAAAGGAAAAGTGTGAACAAACAAAAAAAACTTTTAGTTAGGGTATCATTAAGTTTGATTTGGACTCATTTGGGACTTCTGTTGTAGAGTTGCACCCATTAGTTGTACCCAGTGTGGTATTCTATGGTCGATTGTCAAATGAGTTAGCCACCATCATCCTTCAAAAATGTTGTAACCCTTTCCTGACCCCACAATTTGGTAGTACTACCCGGACATATTGATTCTACTAGTCCTTGACTATAATAATCCAGCGTGAAACCAATAATGTAGATGGAGAGGTCGCAACGTTCTACCTATTTAACGCCTTTTTTAAATCAACAGATCACTCCTGATTAAGACAATCAATTTCAGTTTATAAAGACTCGAGTTTCATATCAAATAACATCTTGTGTAAAACAATAAACAACAAGCGTGCAACGAAACCTAGGTTCAGGACGGCTGATTTTAAGCAAGGCCCGGGGCTTTAAAATAGTGCAGTCTATATACCACACGAAGTATAAACAAACAGACATATAGAAGATCAAATAAGTATTACCTGTTAAGGAATGATGTTCCCGATGATCCTATTTCTTCTTGCCCAGTCGTAGCATAAAAGAACATTGGTTTCTCAGGGACAGGCCAAGGAAAGTCCATTCCTGGTTGCATTCGCTCCGCTAAACAACAAATAATTACTCAAAGCTGAAATAGGTGATCGAACATTTTCAATTTGAAAATTATGTTTTCCATGACCGACGTAGAGAGGATACGAGACAAAGGGGGGAGGGGGCGGGGGCTGGGGAGCGGTAGGGTGAAGAATCCTCATGATAAACAGAGGGAACAATTTTTATTGATACTTTTGCCTTCAAAATCCTCGTAATCGTAAACTAAAACCGTGTCATTGAAGAAACATCTTAATTCATTAGCAGGTTGTAGAGTTGAGTTTTTAGGTGCACGGGCATTTGCATTTAATGCTTGCCCACCATAAAAATTGCACTTCCGCCATCTGTACAACTAACGTTTCGAAATTTATAAAAACAGCTGTTTGAGGCTGTAAATCTTACCAACTGTAACACCATTCTGTAGTGTCCCGTCGTAAAAAAGATTGGATGGAAACTCGCTCAACGCAGGATGCATACGGTACTGTACTTGAAGACGGATAGGTCGTATACCAAGAACAACAAGACGCTCGAATAACGATTGCGATAAGCCTGCACTGCAGGTAAGATGGTGGAAAGAAAACATTAATAATGTGCGAAAGATGAATGGTTGGGGATTTAAAGGGTTGGTTGAATAATTTATATTATGGTACAGTAATGGATTTAGGAGGACTTAGGAGAGCCTTGGCTAGAAGGTGTGCAGTAGAGGGGCCAACTTCCTTACAAAATACAAATACACCAACAAATTAAACAAAAGCAATTGTGACTAGAATTTAATAGAGTACCCTTTGAAAAATCAAAAGAGCATGAGAAATGAATCTTTAGGGTGAGATAAGAACTTGCCATGCATACACAGAATAATCGCTGAAGTACAATTAAATACTCAATTACTTTGCCGCTTTTTTACACATCACAACAGGACCCAATTGACAATGATCACCAACGAGAACGAGCTACAGAAAACAAGTAATTTTATTACCATATATAAATTCAGCAAAACCATTAGTCGTTTGTATAAAAAATCAACATCATTGTCTTTTCCAGTCAACGAAAACACAAAAATACTTGCATAGCGGTAGTATACGTACTACTTCTTACACTAATGATCAGAAATATTGGAGCAATTGTAAATGAGTGATGAAATTAGAGAGACAAGACTTGGTCACGATAAGCTTGTATTGTTTTTTGGACATGTCCGGGTTTTGTGAATCAAGTCAATTTACACTTAATTAGTTTGTTTGAGTACCTTTAGAGAGAGGGAAAAGAAACAAAATTCCATTGAAAACAAGTTATTTTTTTTCAAATAGAAGGGTTTCAAAGTTTAAATTACCTGTTTACACCCAACAACGACTGGAATCATACACTCAGGTTCTGTAGCCTGGGTCGACTCATCAATGAGAACGGATCTAAAGCGGAACTTTGAGAGTCTAGGGTCACCAGCACCAACACATGTTGTACAGATAACGTCCGCATTCTGCAAAACAAAAAAAGAAAAAAGATGTGACAAAAGAAATAAATCCAACCTGCGTGAAGCAGCACCGTATTAAGCTGTCACTCGGCGTTAAGCAGTCATGGGTCACTGTCCCGACAGTTTCTTAATATAAATAGTATTTGAGTTAACATTTTTTAAACTTTCACTTCTTAAGACGTGGTCACCTCTTCCTAGGTCCGAAACTAAATTTTTCATTGTCTTTAAATTGTATTTAAAACTATGAAGTAACAACAGCACAAATTACAATTACAGGGTGACTCCCCCCCTCCCCCCCAAAAAAGGAACTCGCACAAATAATTAAGTATGCATTAAAATAAAATCTAGATACGAATTTAGTCTGCAAATAGCTGTTTGTTTCGCCTGGTTAATTTAATTACACGCTAGTTTTAACCATGTTCATTGCAATATAGGGAAACCATGATTAGGTTTTTGTGGAGGTAATTACTCAGTTACTGTCACTTTGATTAACAAAGCTTTTGCGCAAAAAAATGTAGATAAGTCTAAACTTGTTTTTAATGCTAGTTACATTATAGTGCGTAATAGTTTCAGCAAATACATAATTAATTTATGCAGGTTCCGTTTTCTTGGGACACCTTGTATGATTAAGTATTCAATCATGAGGCTTTTAAAGTCTTCATATTATCTTAATAAGACATTTGAGAAACATCACTGTTTAGTAGTTCAACAGAGATCACGCTCCTGTTAAATTAAGCCTAGTCATCGCGAGAGATACATCGCGGATTCTTGTCAAAAAAGTGACTGACTGAATTATAGCCACGATGTATAACGAAATTACAACTTCAAAGATTTCTTCGAACGTGTGACCGCGGTGGAAACAAAATGAATGAAGATCATTTCCGTTTTGTATTCATTATTTAATGCTGACTGTTTTTGCTCAAATATACAAAATTGTACTTTCACGTTAGCCGCCATGCTGTTGTTAAATTTGGAACATAATGCACATGATGCACATAATTCACTGTGCCTTAATTACGAAGTGCAACTGCAATATTTTCTCGTCTGTTGTCCTAAATTAGATCACTTCACGATTCAATAAATTTTTATAAACCAATTGTGAAATTCTATCGGCAAAACCCACACGATAAACTCCGTCTAAGAAAGACAACGGGTGGAGTGAAATATTTACACATCTTACTTGAAGTAACTCTCGCTCGCAATTTCTCTTCAACGTTTTGTAACGCTTTTCATCTGAAGACGAAAGTTCTCCTTGTTCATCTTTCAGTTGCTGAAGTTTCTGTAATTCCGGCACGCTTTCCATGTTGCGAACCTGGTTATGCAATGCAAGGAACGCAACGGGGGAATCAATGGCCTCCCGGCTTTTGGCGCAAAGACGTACAACCTAAAAGAAAGACAAATGAAACATTTGAAGCAGGATCAGTCAATCGTTTGGCCTGGGCATTGAAACAAATAGCAACTCGCAAAACATTGCTACACGTTGAAAAAAGCTATTAGTTTAAGATTGATTCCAAAATAGGAAATTTCGCAGCAAAATAAATTTTGAGAGGAAAAAGTTCGCTTCACCAGTGAGTTACAACTCGTTCTAGTAACTGCAAAAGCGAATAAAGAAGTAAATTTAATAGGATTATTCATGTACAACTATCATTGTATTTCGTATTGATATATTTCATTTCTCGCAAAAAATTGAGCTCGTGGTATGAGGGCTTAAGTAAAATCATTCCTTTTTCGCCCGAAGCAGTACGTTACTACACAGGCAGTGAAAAAGAACCAGCAACTCACTAACATGAAACAGTTTAACAGAGTAACATTGGAACAAAGTGCCCAAAAATAACAATAAAAATTAATAGTAGCTATTATTTAACAACTAGTTCATTTTTGTCCGATCCGATTGTTTCGGTAAAAACAATTGGTTGTGTGTTCAGACGATAATTTATGGATGTCTATATTCTTTAGATATTCACAGCCGTGGGAACAGACACTTATGTGATCCAGTACATTTATCAACATATTTTGCGTATTTTTGTGCTTATTTCCAAGTCTTTTTCAAATCTAATTTTTTTGCGCCAAAATAAAATTTGGAAAGTAAGGAGAGTGAGAAATCTAGAGCTACGTAGTCGGTTTTCTTCGATCTTGATGAAAACAGAGCAACTTTTATATCCATCAGATTTTTCAGACTAACAGATCAGTCTGTCGGAGGCTCACTTAACATATGTTTACACGATGTGTTTTTTAGGATGCGACAAGTCGGTTCGTGTGAACGGTTACCAGACAAGGCCTAAGCGGTACTTGTCGACTGCCTTTGTATGTGAAAAATTCTAGAACAGTCTCCTGTTTTGTATCGCGTTTTTTTAAGTTTTTACTGGGCGCCACTGTGAATAGTCATTTACCTTTAACCCAGTTTTATGAATCTTCTCGGTCAACTGATCCACAGCAATATTACTTGGTGCGCAAACCAACACCTGCCTACGTAACAAAACAAAATTATCAAAGAAATTTGACAAAACTGAAAGTTTTTTTCGGCAAATCAAGTCGGAAGTCGACAGTCCTGAAATGTCTTACCCCATATTTTGTCTCACAAGATGGTAAACAACAGATGCAGATGTTACGGTCTTTCCAGTACCCGGTGGTCCCTAAAAGTACAGAAACATACCAATGACACCTTAAATATCATCTTTTTTCAACTATCACCTTTTCACGTTACCAACCTGAATTAGACTTAGCGGCCGCTGTAGTACGGTTTTGACAGCATAAACTTGAGAATGATTGAGCTCGGGAAGTCCCGGCGCCGAGAATCTTTTCGGGAGCGTGCACTTCACTATTTGTTCCTCCATGTCGTGACCAAGTAATTTGTGATAAATATAACCGCTGACCGACGTCTCATCGACTGCAAACGTTTTCATCGCAGCTTGCATGCTAAAGCAATAGGATAAATCAACAGCAACTCATTTCAAAATACAGATTTTAGATTTGAAGATGCTGACGCTCCAAATAAGAGCAGTTCTTAGATGTTTGTGTTCATGTCGACTGACGTCTTAACCTCTCTAGCTGTAGTTATTTTCAGACTCGACACTTAAAAACATGAAACCAAGTATCGTTAAATGTGACGACGTTCGTTGATGTCATTTGAATGAAATATTAAAGTGTCTATATCTCCCTCAGAGAAATAATCTATTTAGATAGAGTTGACGATTTCAAGAAAAGTTGCAACAGATTTTATAACACGAAAATTTGATCTTCCTTGACGTTTTGGGTCTCAAAGTTGGCTTTTTTCGTGTTTGACCGTGAGGTGCTGTGACTGGATCTAGTTCATCCTACGTGACGTACATTGCTGCGAATTTTGATAGTATTTGAAAAACTCACTCGTGCATGATTTTTCCAAATTGCACTCGAAACCATGCTATTACATATACATATTTAGCGTATTTTTGTTCTTGTTTTTAAGTCTTTCACATCAAATGTTTTGCGCCAAATGAAATTTGGAAATGAGAGTGAGAGGTCCGGGACTAGTCGGCTTCCTTTGATCTTGTCGGATGAAAATAGAGCAAGTTCTATTTCCATCCGATTTTTCAGACTGACGGATGCGACTGTCGTAAGCTCACTTTATATGTGTTCGCTCGATCCGTTTTTTTGATCCGACAAAATTGGATGGTGTGAAAGGGCCTTAAAACTTCCACCAGCCATTGTAATTGCTTTGTATACATTGCAATAATTTAACTTCCCGCCTTCGAAATGTTGTAGTATTGGCTCTTAGATCACTTCTTCGTGTAACTAACCAATCAGGAGCACAGTTTTCAAAAGTAAATTGCACTGTATTTAATTTTTTTATGTACTGGCATTTACGACAAATTGCACTGCTTAAAATCATTAAAAATTGAGAATTTTTTTCATTTATATTATTAGTTATTGAATAATACTCTAATTCTATAGTGTTAAAAGGCAACGAGTTCTCCAATGTAAGTCACATCCGGTGAACCAGACCCAGTCACAGCACCTCACGGTTAAACGCGAAAAAAAGCAATAAAATATATTGCAAATGTTCTTAAACTCGTCAACTCTATCTAAACAGATTATTTTCCTGAGGGTGATAAAGGCACGTTAAGTTTTGTATTAATGTAATAAAAAATCAATCACATGTAACACCATACTCACCGATCAAACGAAGTGGATTTCCAAACAAAATCAACGCAGAAGTTATGTGTGCATTCAATAGGAGCGCCGAGATTACTGCGCAATTCGATGCCAACTTCATCACCATAATCTGACAATAAAATTAAGGAGTGGAACAAGGACAAAGATGCAAGGGATCCATGGCTGTGTCAGTTTTATTTCTCATACATACGCATAAAAGTTCAACTCAAAAAGTTCGAGAAAATACAACAAATGTGGTACCAAATATAAAACCCCGTGACGTAGCCAACTTTCAAGTTGATTATGCTATGTAAATATTTTGGTGTTCAATCAATGGAAAAAACAATCGATTTCTAAGAAAATGAATGATGGAAAATGAATGGTGAAAAATTTACATAGCATAAACAAATTTGCGAGCTGGTTAACCACTAAATTTACTGAACAAACTTTTGTCAGCTACCAGTTTTTAAATTACAACTAAGCTGCTGGAAAACACTAGGTTTCACGTTATACATACGGAACACATACCAAAGTCTCTTTATGTAAGCATTGTTTAAGAGTTCTATGTGAGGAGCAATCTCCAAGCACACCACTCATTCCCACAGCACACCAGTTTCTCCTCCAAGCACACCACTCATTCCCACAGCACACCAGTTTCTCCTCTAAGCACACCACTTATTCCCACAGCACACCAGTTTCTCCTCCAACACAGCACTCACTTCCGCAGCACACCAGTTTTTCCTCCAACACAGCACTCACTTCCGCAGCACACCAGTTTCTCCTCCAACACAGCAATCACTTCCACACCACACCAATCACTCACATAGCACACCACCCCCTCCCCCAACACAACACTCACTACCCCAAAAAACCACCCACTCCACCAACACACCACTGACAACTACCCCAGCACACAACTGATCCCTCCCCCTAGAGCACCGCTCACCAATTTTGATACAAAGGATACTATTAGGCACTTTAATCACATGTCCAACGCCTTGCCATGGTTTGTGCAGTTCACCAATGTAACGAACACGAAGCTCGTCACCCGCCATCAATCGTATGTCATCGTTTGCTTTTGGAAAGCTGAAATAAGCTATACGTTTCTTGTTCAAACCGATGTCCCAGCGAATAACGATGTTGTCTTGAGTCTATACAAAAGATTTTGAATTCAATAAATGCGGCTATGTAGGTACCTATCGAATGTGGCTATGTACGTGGGGAATAAGACACATCAAATTTCTAAAAACAAACTTGCTCAATATTGGCGAACAGATGGTGTACCTGGCAAACATTGAGTGTGCCTGACAAGCATAGAGAAAACCTGTAAAGCATAGGGTGTTTCTGACAAGCATAGGGTATTTCTGAAAACCATAGGGTATTTCTGAAAACCTGACAAGCATAGAGTGTACCTGACAAGCATAAGGTGTACCTGAGATTCCTTTAGTCTTTTGTCATAATCAGCTTCAAGTTTGACCAGCGGCCCAAAAATGTTCTGATATTGATAAGCATCCTCGTACCTGTATAAAATAACTTAAAATTTAACATTTCACAGTAAAAACTCATTCTTTAACAATGAATTGTAATAAATCCACTCCTTCAAAACCGATCTTAATTAGCTATATACTTAACAAATAGCTAACATTTAACTGTTGTCTATACAATTTTATATAATAACCAGAATAATTTGAGCAATTTCATTCGTCGAGAGCTATGATCTATAAGAGGACATACGCACGGAATTGACGTCACAGAAAATTTCATGTTTATAAAAACAAACAAATGGCGGATGTATTTGAAAGTTTATCGCAATACCTCAGTGAATGGGAAAATAAAGATATTCACAAAGACCTAGTTGAGGCAGTTAACGTATTTGAGCAAAAAGAAAATAAAAAACCGAGTTTTCAAACATTAATTTGTACTTCGTCTTCGATAACAAAATTTCACATTTTATCACGTGATTAAGCTAGCCAATAGCATTTCTTCAATACTATAGATCACGTAAGCGTGATAATTGCAAAATCAAGACTTTTCAATGTTCCAAGTGTTGTTAGACAAAGAAAACAAACTGTGTGACAGTTTAAGTTGAGAATTTTTTTGATTTTATTATATAAAACAACTGTATAGACAACGGTTAAATGTTATCTATTTGTTAAATAGATACAAGGGTATGACGTCATTTGTGATAAGAATTAAAAAAGTGCCACGAGCCGCCGAGAGAGTTTTGAGTGTATAAGTTTGTTTTCTTTGTCCCCAACACTTGGAAAATTGAAAACTCATGATCTATAGGTTTGAAGAAATGCCATTGGCTGGCTTAAGTTACGTGCTAGAGTTTGATTGGCTAAAAGAATAAACAAGCAATGGCTGGTAAATTTTGATGGAGACAAAGTACAATCAACGTTCAAAAACCGTTTTTTGTTTCTTTTCTTTTTGCTCAAATACGTCAACTGCTGCAGCTAGGTCTTCTTAATGTTTTCATTCGTCCATTCAAGGATAAATTCAGGTCAATATTCAAATAATTTCACCGTTTGTTTGTAATTCAAAACTCTGTTATTTGTTATATAACTTTGTTATTTCTCAGACGTCAGTGCGTAAGTCGCTTTATAGATCGTAGCTCTCGACCAATGAAATAGCTAAAATTCGTATTATTATTGTATAAAATCTTTTATTTCACAAAAATGATAAAATATGACCGCTGATTCGTTCAAAAATTTTCCTTTCAAATATTTAAACAAAAGAATTTTTCAAAAAAACGTTTAAAATTTACGTATTTTTAAAATCTATGGTTTACCCTTAAAAATACTTCCATAGCATGAACTTATTTACAGAAAATCAATGGTTTAACGTATTCTATCTTACCGCAACATTACTGGTTGTGGTTCATCGTCAACCCCAGGCTTTTCTAAATCCTCCAACAACGCATCGGGATTGTTCTATATTCAAAAAGTTAAATCTTATAAGAAAGTCAGGAAACACGCAATAAAACATTAGTTTTGGCCAAATGATGCGCTTTATTGCCATGTTCTTAGCAAGAGGCTGTAGAGAGACATATCCTTATTTTCAATATAATAAGCACTAAGTCTAGGAGAGCGGGAAAATTTTGTGATATTTTGAATGCGCATTAATTTATCAAAAAACGATAGCGCATCGATGCACCAGCTAAATCATGTGTATTGGAAGTGGAGTGTAAAAACTTCCACTTCTTTATAAAACTATGCAAGTATTCTTGTGTCAAAAAAGTTAACCTTCCACAATTCTTCGAGTTTGTTGATCTGTTGAGCATTGATCTAGAAAACATAACAATCTTCAATAATAAAAGACGACCACATAGAGAATATTGCTCGAAAAAAGTTGAAAAAAGGATACTTCAAACATCGCTACACGGATCACTTTGCACGACAATTATCCCCTTTTAAATCACGAAGTCACCATAAGTTGGCTTATCGATCGCGATAAGTTGGGGACGAAGTCGTGGCTTAATATGTATGATTTGATAGAGACGCATAACTGATCTTTTTTTCATATTTTAACAAACAATGTAAAGCATAGAATACTTGTCTGGCACGCATCTGATCTTCTTCGGAAGGAATTTTCACCAACCATGGGAGGAAACATCGGTCGTTAATTAACGGTTGCCACTGACTTGGATCCCTTGTCACAAGAAAAGAAATTGGTCTTTAATACTTTGCGTACAAAAACAGCCTTTTCTACATATACTTGGTTTCAAACATACGCAGCTGCAAAAATTATTAATACAAAACATTTTCCGAGTTTCTATAAAGTTATAAAAACAAGCGGAAATATTTGGGGGAAACAAGAATTTGCTTGTCAAGCACGAACACGAAATACGAGTTTGTACAGATTTACACGCAAGAAGTCTTAAGGCCTGATTATATGAAGGAAAGCTGGCCCAGATAGCGAGGTATCCCGATGATTTCAAGGGATTGAAAAGAGGCAAAACTTCAAGGTTAAAAATTACAAATGTTTGCGAAGCACCACACGTCACTCCGGTTGTAACTCTCAAATTAGGGCGAATTGGTCGTTTCAATTTTAAATGTTTTGAGAAGTTATGAAATCAGAATATTGTAAAATTGCTGGAGAAGATTTATCTGATGATAAGTATAGATACGTTTCCATTTGCCAAAATCATTTATTCTTGTTTGGAAAAAGCTGTTTAATTCAAACTTATATTAAACGCATAAACACAAGCAATTTAAGCCAATACAACCACAAAGCTTTAATTACCAGTTCATATCTTTCAAACTACTTTGTGTGGCACAAGGTTGCCTGAAAAATACATAACATTTCGTCAGAGTCACTTTCACACTTATCCAAGACTACCTCTAACCATGACTAGTCATACACATACAAAAGACTACCTCTAACAATGACTAGTCTTAACATTTAAAAGACTACCTCTAACTATGACTACCCATACACATACAAAAGGCCACCTCTAACCATGACTAGTCATACACATACAAAAGACTACCTCTAACTATGACTAGTCATACACATACAAAAGGCCACCTCTAACCATGACTAGTCATACACATACAAAAGACTACCTTTAACTATGACTAGTCATACACATACAAAAGACTACCTTTAACTATGACTAGTCATACACGTAGAAAAGACTACCTTTAACCATGACTAGTCATACACGTACAAAAGACTACCTTTAACCATGACTAGTCATACACATACAAAAGACCACCTCTAACCATGACTAGTCATAACATTTAAAAGACTACCTTCAACCATGACTAGTCATACACATACAAAAGACTACCTTTAACCATGACTAGTCATACACATACAAAAGACCACCTCTAACCATGACTAGTCATAACATTTAAAAGACTACCTTCAACCATGACTAGTCATACACATACAAAAGACTACCTTTAACCATGACTAGTCATACACATACAAAAGACAACCTCTAACTATGACTAGTCATACACGTACAAAAGACTACCTTTAACCATGACTAGTCATACACATACAAAAGACTACCTTTAACCATGAGCAGTCATACACATACAAAAGACTACCTTTAACCATGACTAGTCATACACATACAAAAAACTACCTTTAACCATGACTAGTCATACACATACAAAAGACAACCTCTAACTATGACTAGTCATACACGTACAAGACTACCTTTAACCATGACTAGTCATACACATACAAAAGACTACCTTTAACCATGACTAGTCATACACATACAAAAGACTACCTTTAACCATGACTAGTCATACACATACAAAAGACTACCTCTAACCATGACTAGTCATACACATACAAAAGACAACCTCTAACCATGACTAGTCATAACATTTAAAAGACTACCTTCAACCATGACTAGTCATACACATACAAAAGACTACCTTTAACCATGACTAGTCATACACATACAAAAGACTACCTTTAACCATGACTAGTCATACACGTACAAAAGACTACCTTTAACCATGACTAGTCATACACATACAAAAGACTAACTTTAACCGTGACTAGTCAGTCATACACATACAAAAGACTACCTTTAACCATGACTAGTCATACACATACAAAAACTACCTTTAACCATGACTAGTCATACACATACAAAAGACAACCTCTAACTATGACTAGTCATACACGTACAAAAGACTACCTTTAACCATGACTAGTCATACACATACAAAAGACTACCTCTAACCATGACTAGTCATACACATACAAAAGACAACCTCTAACCATGACTAGTCATAACATTTAAAAGACTACCTTCAACCATGACTAGTCATACACATACAAAAGACTACCTTTAACCATGACTAGTCATACACATACAAAGACTACCTTTAACCATGACTAGTCATACACGTACAAAGACTACCTTTAACCATGACTAGTCATACACATACAAAAGACTAACTTTAACCGTGACTAGTCAGTCATACACATACAAAAGACTACCTTTAACCATGACTAGTCATACACATACAAAAAACTACCTTTAACCATGACTAGTCATACACATACAAAAGACAACCTCTAACTATGACTAGTCATACACGTACAAAAGACTACCTTTAACCATGACTAGTCATACACATACAAAAGACTACCTTTAACCATGACTAGTCATACACATACAAAAGACTACCTCTAACCATGACTAGTCATACACATACAAAAGACAACCTCTAACTATGACTAGTCATACACGTACAAAAGACTACCTTTAACCATGACTAGTCATACACATTGAAAAGACTAGCTCCAACCCATAAGTGGTACACTTTCATTACCTACCGACAAAGCAACACCACCACTGAATCAGCTTTGGCAGGTATAAATCCCAAGAGGAAAACATTCTTTGATCCACAATTGTAGCATTCCAAAACTGTTTCACCAAGAGGACCATCTTTATGTAATGTAACCTCCTTATGCTTGGCTCTCACGAGATGGTTTATGATATGACTAAATGCAAATATTTACATAATGAAAACATATAGCAGGTCAATCGCAGATTTGTCCAACACCTGTTTTCAGCAGATCAACTCTACACTAATATGATGATCAAATAATCATGCTTAAACAAGGAAAACTTCGTTTGTGTATCAAGCTATGCTTATTACCAAGACCATTTATAGGGGCATTAGGTGAGAAATTACTGCAGAGAAATACACCCATGATGATTATAAATTATACTAGAGATGCAATTGATGATGAATTGGTGGAGCGGAGAGTTTGTGGGTGAGGCGGGAAATTTAGGTCTTGGTGGCATCGCAGCCATTGCTTAGTAAACATGAAGTAAACAAATATGCTTTTGCTATCTGCTTTCGAGTTTGGGATTCTTTTTTATCTTTCTGTTGTAAGTGTTTTTGTTCTTTTGTCCGAAACATCGAGAAATTTATCAACTTTAAATGTTAGCAAACGATTCTTAGCAAGCTGTTATTATGATTATATGTTGTTTATAAACTCTGTGCATTGTATGTTTTAATTAAACTGCAAGCGATGAAAACTTACGTTGTTCTTGCCTGTTTTTCTGTTTTTAAAATATACATATTGACATGTCTAAACCGTTTTAACCTTTTTCCGGAGTGGATGAGAAATATATGTTTTTTTCAAGTCTTTTAGCAGTTGAATTAAAGACAAAAAAGGCCTTTATATCAAGCAACACTCACGAATATAATTAACTGAATAATTATTAAAGAAACATTAAGATGTTTTGCATAATACGAGCGGTTATTATCATCTAAAATTACGATGAAAAGAAAAACCTTGTTCAACAAATTGATTTTGATAATATTTACGCATATTTAGAAAAAGTCAAAAAATCACAGTTAGCATCTGTAGCTTAACATCCGGGAATCGATTTTGTCCCACCAAAATGCGTACGAATTTTTAGACTTTAGATTATATTACGATGCAAACTCTAGTATTATTTGTAATCTCTATACAGGGACGGGGGAGCAAAATAGGAAGTGCTAAGTCTTCAATTCTACTATAAAGTCTCATAATAATGGCAGTGTGCGAATTAGTTCAGAAAAAGTGTTTCTTTAGAGGCATAATGAAATCAATATTACGTTAAATATTCTATAGCGCTAATTGCTAAATTAATATTCTTAAACGTGAACAAATTCATATGATTTACGAAAGTGTTTTTCGTTACATCCCCTGACCCAGTATAAAATGTATGAGAGAAATTGTTTTCGCATGTTATTCTCTCCTCTTTTTTTGTGCAAACTTTACAGCGCAATAAATTCACCACTTGACCATCATCCTAGTAATCAAACGAGTCAGCATTTGATATTTCCATCTATTTTTTTCACTGTATTAATGATGCACTCGAATTGAAACATATGAAAGACTTTAATTATTTTTTTACTGTATTAACTTTGCTGGTAGTTACAACCTTTCGACGAAAATGGCAAGAAAGACAAAAGTGAAAAAAGAATGACCGAATATACTTTTGCTTTCTGATTATTAACAATAACATCCTTGATGTTTACTTACGATAAAAAACATCATATTTATGTCATATTACAAGCAATATGTAAAATCAAAAAGTATGGCTGATCAAGGTTGCCAGTTTTACTTAATATTTTGAGCCAAATTTGGCTTCTTTTTCTCACGTTAGGCTTATTTAAAATAAAAATTCCCTTTGGTTTATTCTTCAAATTTGGCTTATTAAAGTTTTTTCGTTTTGTTTTAAGAATCAAAATTAAAATGTTTCCCGATTTTACTGAAAATACTCAAAATAGCTATGATGCCACAAACAGTACGTAACGGTCTACAAAACAACTCAAATGCAAAAATTGACATTAATAATGTATTACACCCCTATTGTCATAAGCATATAAGCAACATGTAAGTAGACTGTTGACAGACTTCTCAGTCTCAGTGACAACGTCTTTAAATTTGATGACATTGTGCCAACATGGATTTTAATGTCGTGCAGCGCACTCGTTTATAAAGTAAAGATCAGTAAAGACTAAGCTTAAAAACTTTCTTCAATTTATGTGGTAGTAATCAATGAAGAAGTTTTTTTGCATATCGTTTGAAAAAGTGATGTGTAATTGTTTTCATTTTAGCTAAAACGATGTGCAAATTGCACATTGCACACCGTTAATTTGCACACTGAATGGGCTTCTCAAGTTCCCGCTATAGATACACCTCTCTTAACATTAGCTAGAGATGGAGCAGAAGGGTACCAATTTTCCTGTCATATGTCAAAATACCAAGCAATGAAGGAAAATCAATCGTGATTTTATTTAATTATGAACAATTTCTTTCGAAAACATCTCTCATTCATGTTAACAGAATATCAGTTAAATGGCATGGCGACACATAAATCTGATCTTAAGTAGAGATCCCTACAAAACCACTCTTCATCCATCCCTGAATATTCAAATATTAAAATTTACAATGAACAAATATTCAAATATTAAAATTTGAATTAGCAAGTTTTCATTTTTCAACATGTGCTATGTAATATGAACAGAACTTTTTTAATTAATCTTAAAAGATGTGTATGTTTACATTAAATGTTACAAAATGTTACGTTTCAGTTGACAGTTTTTTAATGCAAGCTATGAGGCCTTAAAACATTGACAGTTTTTTTTTGGGGGGGGGGAGTATGTTACTCACAAAACATTAGATTTCACTCCCCTAAATTGCTCACCCTTCTAACAAACATTTTAAATCCCCCCCCCAATTTTTTTTAACAAAGTGAGTTTTTCTGGGTAATGTTTCAACTGCCGAACACTACCATCTGAGGCTACACTACTTAATAACTGATCCTAAAATCCTTACTCTCTTAAGCATTACCCCAGTAAAAACTATAAAAATCTGCACGTGCTTAGAAAGTCTTGAAATTCTTATTGTACTCACATTAGTAGTGGGAATAAAATTGACTCATTCACTATGATGTGAAATGAAATCACAACAGCATGAAATAAAACAACGATAAAATATAGCTGGGCTGTTATAGTATATTAAAAAATAAAAAGAAATATAATATTTGTTTTAATATTTGTTTTATTCTAGGTGTGAAAACATCAACATACCAAAAATTTGAAATAAATATCAATATTTTTGGTGTTTTGCTTTTGCAATGTAATTAAAGTTAGTTTTAATGCTTTTTAATTGTGTAGTAGGCAATAACAATTTTTAATCCCAATTAAGCTATAGTTGTAGCTAAGTTTCAATTCAATGACGTGAATGCAGCTGACACCAGGAACAAGCAAACATGCTGACATTTTTGACAAAAAATTTAAGGTAAGTATTACAACAATTATCTATGCAATTACATCATGTCTGGTAATTGTTCACTGTGCCAAATCCTAATCATCTAAATGTAGATATTTTTGTAATATATCGATTTGGTTTATAGACAATAAACAAAAATTTCTACATTGAATTTTATCCTCACTATCTGCTTCAGTGGTTAAGGGATTGGGAAACACGATGATGTTGAAAACACATGACTGCACAAAAGTATGTCCCTTTTTCAAAATAAAATTGCTACTAGCATTCATTCATTCATTCATTCACTAATTTTTCTACACCACTAACAGATGGATCACACACACAATAGATATTCTTTCTTCAGACCAGCAAACATTTTGCTAACCTTCCTGATGTATTTCCACGACTATTGCAAAACCATTTCTTCGTTTGATTACACATCACTACAGAAGCTGGATCATGGATGCCACAATATCTGAAATGAGAATTTCAGCAGGTTCCAAATTACTAATTAAGACATGGCAAATTCTCATTTATTCAGAGATTCTGCATCATATCAAAGAAATCTCGTTTTCTCGGTTATACAAAAAATTATATAAAAATATAGCTCTACAGAAATGATGAAGTCTCATCATGTACCTAAGTGATGCATTTGCCACCTGACCTGATTGAAATAATGTATCAATCCATGGGCAAAGTGTTTCAGATCCTCTAAAATTTAATTTTGCCTCAATTTTTGAAATCCATCTATCGATCTCTTACTTGCAATCAACACCAGCATCTTTGATGTTTGATGGCCCCCAATGAAAAACATGCTCTACAGTGCATGTTTCACAGTTGCTATGCTTAAGTAGGAACTACATTTTGTGATTTACCAATCACATGCCCAATTCCATTGCTTTTCTGTAATTGCCACTTGCCCTATGTCACCAGAGTCTGCTTTTTATATTGAAAAGGTAATATTAAGCAGTTCAACGTGATCAAAAGCTAAGTGGCCATTTTAGAGTCACATTTTGAATTTTTTCATGGTTGACATTGGAAAATGTGGTGGTCACAAAATATGGGATCTACTGAACTTAGGAAAAATATAGAAACAGAAAGACCGTATGTAATCTTTGTGCAATAAAGTTGACACTGCACGTATGAATTACAAGTTTTGAAACAAAGTTTTTTCAAAGATACTTTTCTTCTGTAAGGTATAGCTTTAAGTAAAACAAAATAAAACAAATTCTGTTTTATTTTGTTTTGCTTGAAATTGTCTGCTTGTCCTGGTTATAGGTATAGCTTTTAGGTTTTTAATCTTCAAAAATGCCAATTAATGCCATTAACTGTTATATAAGTAGAACACTAATAGTGGAAAGTGTTTAGAACCGTCAATACACAACCTGCATGCATGGGGAGGTAAATCTTTTGTATAATACGCTTCGTCGTCTTCTTCTTCAAAGTTCAACTCGCCCAAAGTCTTCGTCACATTGCCAACGGTTTCCTTGTCAACAGCGCTTTCATCTTCACCGTTTTTCAACTTCTCGCTCAAAGTTTCTTCTGCCTTTGACGGTGAAACGTTGACCGAAGTTTCGTTAGCGACTGGTTGACTCGCCTGAGATTGAGTCTGCGTTTGAGAAGGCGCTGTGAAATCCGTAAATTCGTAGGCACTTCCTTGCGTATCGGCTCCAAAATCCGCTTCGTCTGTATCAAGGAAGGTCAAGGTTTGAGACGCCGGCCCATAAGGATCCACGCTCATTTTTTTCTAGGAAGAAAATTTGAAGAGAATATTCACTTTCTCTTTGTAGTTCAACAACTCACTCAAACACACGTTTTACGAAATTACGATGGCGATGGCAAATTATCAATCGTGCTGCCATTTGAACGTATGAGCAATTCAATGAAAATTCCTCGTTTTTGAGAAAAATTGCCGAAGCAATTGCGAAAAATATTTCCGGTAATTCTCGTTTATTTACCAATAATTAACATTTTTTACCATTATTACCATGTCAATAATCTTTAGATTTACAACAAAGCTGCAAGGTGCAGTGGTGGGAGAAACTGGCCGAGAATATTTTTAAAACTTACTGTACGTTTTCTGCTACTGGCCTAGGCCTACTGCCAGTCAATGCCGGTCAATGCTGCCAGTTCGTGCTTCAGTGGTTATCTGCGAAGCTTTTTACCAGCAATTTCACACTGGGGCGACACATTTGACTTCGATAAGAAAACCAAAATGTGACTTATTTCTCGGAACTTGGACCATTTTGGACCCCTGTTAATAATTAATTTCGCATGGTATTGAAAGTTTTAAATATCCATATGTTTTGACCAATGGTTTTGGCTCTTTCTTGTAGAGATTTCTTTAAATTGAACTAGTTTTAGCTACCAGTTGAAAACTTGAACTTAAGCAGATGTAAAGTAGATGATGTGACATTTTGGTGACGTTCGTTCGTGGATAAAGGGTAAAACAGGAAGCAATGCAATTAATGTGCTGCGTCAGACGGTCATTAAGTGCTCAACTCAAGAGCAACTTGAAAACTCGACAATTTTGTTTAAAAACATGCAAAAAACAACTGGAAGTTGGAGTATTATGTGACATCGATGGTGTCCTCGTCCGTGGAAGAACCCTTATTACAGGTGCAAGAGAATCAGTAAGACTGTTGTATGACCATGACATACCAGTTGTGTTTCTCACAAATCAAGTGCTCCAACTGGAAAAGGACAAAGCAGAGAATCTTTCTAGGATACTGGATCTTAAGGTGTGAAATGGGTTTGCTTTAATGATACTAGCTTTTTACCTGCTTCTCACAGTTGGGTATTGGTTACCACATTAAGTGGTTAACCATATTCATTAAGAGAATGTGAGGTATCAGATTATAATGATTTGTGTCCATTAAGCAACTAACCATATTAGCTAAGGCATGTGGGATATTTCCATTAACAAAGAGAAAAAGCCCAATGCAACCAAAAGGTTTCAAATTTTACCCAAGGGTTAAAAAGTTAAGTGCAACCAAAGGTTTCAATGTTTATGTATACTTCACACCATAAACTGATTAGTTGTTTGTTGCCAGGTACATCCAGATCAGGTTGTCATGTCGCATTCACCCCTGCGACTTTACAAAGATTTGTTTGAAAAGTTTGTTCTAGTCTTGGGGCAGCTAGATGTTCAAGCTGTGGCCAGTTCATATCCTTTTGTGTGAAATCTGAGTTGGATAGCTTTTGTGATAAATGCACTTGTTTGAAAAAGATTTCGTGGCTGCATGGTTTTATGAATAATATGAATTATAATAAAGCAATCCTTAACTATTTACAATATTGGTTTCAAAAATATTTGTGACATTGAAGATGTACGCAGGGCATACCCACTATTAGATATGATGGATAAGGAGAAGCGATATGAAAACCTTGATGTAAGTCAGTCAAACAGTTTGTTTTATAAGTATGGAGAATCAGTTCCATAGCAGCTTATGGAAACTGATCAATTCATTATCTCGAAAATATTTATCATAAAATTCACAAATTTACATATTTTAATGCAGAAATATGGAAGAAAAAATGATTTTCCAAACATAGAAGGTAAGTGGATGAAATTCTACTACTTGATTGATGCTTTTGAAAATGGTTCAGTCAATGTATATTGCATAATTTTCTTTTGTAGGAATAGTTTTGCTGGGAGAACCAATTAAATGGGAATGCGTACTACAGTTGTGCATGGACTTGCTAGTATCAGATGGGAACCCTTCAAGACGACTTCCTATTGGTAAAGTGGAACACATGCCAGTTGTTGCCTGTAATCCAGACCTGACGTGGATGGCAGAAGCACCTTTGCCCAGGTAGCCTTGAGATATGGGGAAAAGATCACGTCACCTAGAAACACTCTATTGACTTCATTAACATAGTATATTGTTAAGTTTACTTAGCTTATAAGCTTATATAGATAGTAAGTGAAATTGCTGTCTTATCAAGGTGAAGATCAAGGCATTTATGAGAAGAATGAGAGATGAACAGGACTTCCGTCTTGTGGTGTTTCTTTGTTGTGAAATATGTAAAACTTTGGAGACCTAAATCCAACCAACGACAGTCCAACCTACGACAATCCAACCAACGTCAATCCAACCAACGAAAATCCAACTAACGACAATCCAACCAACTACTGAACTTTGTGATGCGATCCAACCAACGAAAATCCAACTAACGACAATTCAACCAACGACAATCTATGTGATGCCATCCAACCAACGAAAATCCAGCCAACGACAATCCAACATACGAAAATCCAACTAACGACAATCCAACGAACGACAATCCAGCCAACGACAATCCAACATACGAAAATCCAACTAACGACAATCCAGCCAACGACAATCCAACATACGAAAATCCAACTAACGACAATCCAACCAACGACAATCCAACTAACGACAATCCAACTAACGACAATCCAACTAACGACAATCCAACCAACGAAAATCCAACTAACGACAATCCAACCAGCTACTGAACTTTGTGATGCGATCCAACCAACGAAAATCCAGCCAACGACAATCCAACGAACGAAAATCCAACTAACGACAATCCAACCAACGACAATCTATGTAATGCAATCCAACCAACGAAAATCCAGCCAACAACAATCTATGTAATGCAATCCAACTAACGAAAATCCAGCCAACGACAATCCAACCTACGAAAATCCAACCAACGACATCCAACTAACGGCAAATCAGATGGCGTCAACCTACGTTCAATTCTTGCGTTAATAAATCTCCCTTTGTTTTCGACAGGTTTGGCCATGGTGCATTTCTGCTGTGTTTAGAATCATTGTTCAAGGTAAGATTGAATACAATACATTGATATTTTACTGACTGCAGTTTAGCTATATCTTCACAATCGTTTTCAGAAAATTACTGGTAATGAACTAAAATACACTACAATAACTGGAAAACCGTTTCTGACAACGTTCAAATACGCGGAGAGAGTAATTCGAGATATCTTGGCAAAAGCTAACGGCTCTGAAATGTCAAAATCTCTTAAGAGAATTTATGTCATCGGGTAAGATGTCAAATTAACTACTACATGTTCGAAAAGGTTGTAGATGTAGTCGGTAATCAGGTGGACTGGGGTGCTACCCTGAATGTCGGACAAGTTTAAAGTAGAAACAATCTTGGAGTCCCCATTTTCACTTTTGGCCTAAGATAAGTTTATTTTGCTATCGTTTTTTAAAGTTTATCTTAACTCGGGAAGAATTGAGTAAATTCATTAGATTCAAGCTCTAGTGTCGTGTGACTGGCGTTATCTAGCAACTCCTGAGTTTATCATGCAAGACCTGCTTGTTCATGTTTTAAGAAAACACCACCTTTGATTACGTATGTCGTGAAGGTCGCCAAGATAGGGAGGCAAAGGCAGCTCTGTAGAACTAAATTTATCAGAGATTCAGGGGGCGCTCTCGTGACGAGGCTTAAGTCGTGAAATCGTTAGAAATGCGTGACGTCGTCGTATGATAATTAGAGTGATTTAGTGATAACACGACAAAAAATACACCGCATAAATGAAAGGTGGTGTCATGATCTTGTGAAATATTAATACAAAAAAGTTATTGATTTCTCAGAACCTGATTTTAAAAATTTTTATTGTAGTCCAGGAAAATATAGTAAAGTTTTCGTCAATAATGTTCATATTAAATCATCAATTTTTAAAAGTAGAAAGGTGGGTTCAACCCCCTTAAATCTTGAAGAAGTGGGGCTCTGCCCCCAAGTGCCACCCCACTTCTACAGCACTCGACAAAGGGGGTGACTTTCCCCCAGGATCCCTAACACACTCTGACCGAAAAAAAAGATGGTAAAATGACATGCTATGTTAAGTGTGAGATTGTGGCCGCCAATGAGCCCCAGATAAATAAATTTCTCCAGGCTGGACAGCCTATTTGTTTGCTAAACACGAACAATGTAATTGCAGAGACAATCCAGACAGCGACATCTACGGAAGTAATTTGTTCAAACAGCACCTAACTGAAAAGAATAGTGATATTTGCAATTCAAGCAGTGAAGACGTAATCTCCATTTTGGTTGAAACTGGTGTTTATTGTGGGGAAAACTTCACTTACCCCGCAAACAACCTCAATCATCAACACAAGGATATTCTATTTGAATCAAAAATGATCATTCCCAATCATATTGTTCCCAGTATAGTAGAGGCAACTAAATTAATTTTAGAAAGAGAATCCACATAAATTTTAAGCACATCTCTACAACTGGGGATGTTGTACAAAGTCTGGTTTGTGCCATTTATGGTTTTTGTGAATCAGTAAATAGTTCTTTTTGTTGTAAGATTTTAACATTAGGTATGTGATGAACTTTAATAGTCGCCACTATCTTGGCTAGGTGCAACTGACCTGGGTTTCGATTCATAGCAAACATACATATGTATCATGTTTACCAAGGATGTCCCATACATAGTTATATAAAAATTATAGTTAAATACACACACCATACCATTTTAACATAAAATACTGTTATGATCCATGCACCATACATCACATGTACGTTTTAGGGAAATTACAATGAAAACCTTACTTAAATAAACTGGATGAAAAGCATTCATAAAAATGAGGTTGTAATACAATGCTGCAGTGAAATGAATAATGCCTGTATAAGTGTTGCTATCATATAGCTCCTAAAGAATTATGTTCATCTCATGTTGTTTTCAAGGCAATGCACCAAAAGAAAGACCATTGGCAAATTTTGTATGTAATTCTGACCTGTATCTCATAACTACCTTTCTCATGTTTTATCAAACATGTGTCTGTTAAGAAAAGTTTAATGATATTTACAGGAACCCATGACTTTATGGTTTTAAATCTATAAGATATATTTTTCACAGCACTCAACTTGACTTTCCTTACAAATTACATCTTATCTCCTTGACTTCTGTGTGCTGATGTACAATACTAAACCAAGAAAGCAGAATCTCAAAGCAAAGTCATCATGGTAAATCTTATGAGTGACAACATAAGCCCTTCCCCCGGGGCAAATGCTCCACAACAACATCTTACCATTATTTCCCCGAATAAAGGCGTCACCATACTTGTTTTTCAACTGCAAACAACAGTAAAATAATTTAATTATGGTTCTTAAGCATTTACTCACGAACAAACTCATTAAGGCATTGGAAATATTCTAAGGAATGTAAAAATACGGTAAAGTCATTTCTTCAACTTCAAAATTAGTCGGGCATCTTTTATTTTGTTTAAGAGTTTTTCATCTTCAGACTAACTTGCCACTTAAATAAACAAGTTTTTGCAACTAGTTTATACAAAAAATTAGGACTAAGGGGCTATTAAGTCTGAAAATTTTGAAGGATGAGCTGAAAATTTAGGGTGTGGAATTTTAACTTCACACTGCAATTTAATTTACCTAAGGCTGTCAGATGATTGATAATTAGGGGAGGGAGCTAATATTTATATGCACATGATATAGTGCATTCAATAGCTTCAAAATCCATTATTTGCAATTGATAATGACATGGATATACAAAATGACCACCTCCTCCTCCAATTATTGATCTTCCCATAGCCTTGCAGGTATCAATAAATGGAATGCACCTTGGATAGCGAAGCTCTGATTTATTTATGCAGTCTTGTGTATTTAGGTAATGTATGTATACTTATAACATATAGTACGGTAGATCTCAAGATCTACCTGTCCATTCACGTATTCCTCAGTTTGCTCTAAAGCAATGTTCATATAACTATCCAAACAGGCCAATACACCTAAAAAAAACAAATAATTCGGCGAAAAATATGATAAAATAGTGAATTCAACCATGATATATCTAGTCACTTTAGTGGGTCTACCAACCTCGGTAGTCTGCACCACTGTTCAATTTCACCACAACAGGGCGACCGATGATCTGCTTAAGGAAATCACTCGGCGTTTGCTTACGACTCATTTTACATGAGAAGTTTTTGAATATAATGTTTTAGAAAGAAATGTTATATAGATAAACTTTCGATAGTTGTATTTAGCTCACTAAGCTAGTTCGCTTGCTTTCTTCGATGTTGCCACTTTCCAGATAAAATTTCAGAATACTCATTTTGCTGATGTTGTTAAACAAAAACGGAAATAGTTTTTATCTAAATTTGAAGATCGGAAAATTGAATGATTGGAAATTTTAGGAACAACAAATGAATCAAATTAATCATGTTGACTGATGCATCAGATTTACACTAATATGTAATGTCATTTACAGAATCCCAGAAAGCTTGAGCCAAGAAGTAAAAGGGAAATTTTCGTGGGCTATGATAATCCAACGACAATCCAATTAACGACAATCCAACCAACGACAATCCAACCAACGACAATCCAACCAACCACAATCCAACTAAAGAAAATCCAACTAACGACAAATCTGATAGCGTTCATCTAATTCCATTTTTGAATTAATTTTTCTTTTGTTTTCGACAGGTTTGGCCATAGTGCATTTTTGCTAAGTTTAGAATCATTGTCCAAGGTGAGATTGAACACAATACATTGATCTCGTACTGACTGCAGTTTAGCTATATCTTCACAATCTTTTTCAGAAAATCACTGGTAATGAACTAAAATACACTACAATAACTGGAAAACCGTTTCTGACAACGTTCAAATACGCGGAGAGAGTAATTCGAGATATCTTGGCAAAAGCTAACGGCTCTGAAATGTCAAAATCTCTTAAGAGAATTTATGTCATCGGGTAAGATGTCAAGTTAACTACTACATGTTCGAAAAGGTTGTAGATGTAGTCGGTAATCAGGTGGACTGGGGTGCTACCCTGAATGTCGGACAAGTTTAAAGTAGAAACAATCTCGAGTCCCCCATTTTCACTTTTGGCCTAAGATAAAATTTTGTCATAAATTTTTAAAGTTTCGCTTAATACAGGGAAAATTGAGTAAATTCATTAGATTCAAGTTCTAGTGTTGTTTGACTGCCGTTATCTAGCAACTCTTGAGTTTATTATGCAAGACCTGCTTGTTCATGTTATAAGAAAACACCACCTTTGATTACGTATGTCGTGAAGGTCGCCCAGATAGGGAGGCAAAGGCAGCTCTGTAGAACTAAATTTATCAGAGATTCAGGGGGGGTCTCTTGACGAGGCTGAAGCCGTGAAATCGTAAGACATGCGTGACGTGACGTCGTCGTAGGTCGATTGCTTTAATCAAATATAGGCAACGACGCTACCGTTACGCGACTACATAGTTCCAGGCCTAAACGATACATTTCATGACGTCGTCGTGATTACGCGTCTTTCTTATGTTCTCCATTATCACAGATGTTCACTACGTTTAACTGAAAGGACGCTTTGAAGACAGATTATAACTCATGCGTAATTCTTACAAGTAACTATGACGCGCCGAACATGTCATTATTCTATTAATTAGTTTATTAGCAGATCAATTTATTTATTCTCACTTGGCATTTATTTATTCTCACTTGGAATTTATTTATTCTTGGAATGCCACGCAAATGACCTTCGTTGGAATTGAACGACAATGTGATCTTTGTGACAGTAATAATATCGCTGCCAGTGACAAACTGGAGAAACCCTTCCAACATGTTATCATCTAATGATTTGATGAATCTTTTGAGATGTTCCAGACAGGTGCGCTCTGCCTCAGATTTTGGATCAGCTTCTATAAGCTTGATAATACGTTTTGATGATGCTTTTTTTCAGAGTAGATGCTGGAGAAGCTTGAAAAACTACTGAATTGATTAAAGCCCCTCAACAATTGCAACTCTTCGCTCCAAGAATTAGCAACGAAGCGGGGCTTTTGGATTAGCTCTTGATGGGCCAATTCTTCAAAAATAACGCGAATGTTTTCTTTCGTTGGATTTCTGTAGCAATGATAGCTGCTCAGAAGCTCCATGACGTCATCGTCTTTAGGACTAAGTTCATTCTCCAGACATTTCATCATTATATCTTTTTCATCTTTTGAAATGTACTCTTTGAATGAATCAAGCAAGGAATCAGCTGTTACACTGTCGTCTCCAAATATGCAGCTTGCAATAAATACCTTTGATAAAAAAAGAGGAAAATATCTTTCTTCCTTATAGCCATAAACTAAAATTCTTGAAACGGATCGCCACTCAATAATTTGGTAATCATGGCGAATGCACGGAAACTTTTCTGATGCGCCAATAGACAGTGCAACAGAAAATTCTCGCCAGAAAAGGCTTAAAACTTCCCGTGTAACTCCTGGCCTTTCCCATCTTCTAGAACTCCGTTATCCGCCATGAAAACAAACACCAAACGAATTTGTGAATTTCGTGATCTTTAAATTCAGATATTAGAGATTTCACTATGTCACTTCTTTTCACCACGAATTCACGTATGGGAACAGTCTCCGACTGGTTTTGAACATCAATTACTTCATCTAAATAAAATTTAAATATGAGGGTGAAGAAATTGAGCAGTGTTTAAAAAATAAGCATTATGCTAAAGTTTACCAGTTCCAGCTGCAATGTTTTCCTGGACAATTATCTCATCTTCACAAATTGAAGCATCGGGTGGTTGTTCTGTAGTTGGTTCGTTTTGATTGTCTAAATCAAATAAATACGCACTTATGTCAAGAAAAAACTTAACATCAATTTGTGCGACATATCTAATTTACAGGTACAAGATCATTGCGTCGTGAAAAATATATTGCATAGTTCAAACTTTCTTATATTCATTTTACTTTCTTAAGCAAGCAATAAAACTTCAAACAAAGAAGCAACAAAGCAACAACCAAGTACACTGTAGTCTGTAGCCAATACCTTGGAAATCACCCATGTAGCTTTCTTGTAAAAATTCATCATCACTTTCATCATCAATAGAATTGTATTCTTCCAACAATCGCACATAAACACAGCCCTGCCCTGCCATTTTTAATACCAACTCACAGGTCAATTCTACCCCACTTGCAAATTTGGGTGAGATAGTTCTCCATAGCATGCCTACAGTTATATCGATTGAAGTAAATTCTCATCGCATTTTAACAGGCAAAGCACAAAAAACAGTTTATTGTAAAATTACACCAACAAAATACAACAACTTCATAAGAAACGTATTGTATAACTTACTTTTACAAATTCAAATGGAAGAAATAACATAGGGAGTTGCTCTTTTACTTTTTCTTTTAACGTTGTAGAGTCCCATGATTTATCAGATGGAAATTCTGAAACCACTAGCCCTTTTTTTTCCAATTCAACACGATTCTTGTGAGTTGGCACTCAGGAGGTTTGGGGATCTGGAATTATGACAAGATCTTTGTAAGCAAAAGATTTACTTGCTGGCCTTCCTGGCCTGCGAAAGTTCTTCCCGTAACGGTGAAACTGAGTTGTAAGAATTCCTCGACGTAGTAGTTTGAGGTGACGATGATGACAGTGAAGCAAGACGTTGAATATCACTAGTATTAAGAGTCTGCAAAGTACGCAAAGCTTCTGCAGCACGCTGAACGGTCGATGAAGTAACGTTTTCCTCCGCCATTTTTTGTTGTGAAATATGAAATTTCATATTATTTCATAGTAAACAAAGTTTCCCAAATGGAAGCACCATTCGAGAAGTGCGAATAAATAAATTCGGAAAGTGCGAATAAATAAATTCGGAAAGTGCGAATAAATAAAATCGAGAAGTGCGAATAAATAAATTCCAAGTGAGAATAAATAAATTCCAAGTGAGAATAAATAAATTCCAAGTGAGAATAAATAAATTCCAAGTGAGAATAAATAAATTGATCTGCTAATAAACTAATTAATAGAATAATGACATGTTCGGCGCGTCATAAGTAACGACCTTTATTTTAATAAATGTTTGAAATAGACTTGCATACAGTCATACCGCGCTATGCATGACGGGGCTCCAAAAGATAAAACTTAGTCAGCGAGAAAATGATTCTGCTACATCTCTTATAATTTAGAAACGATTGTCGTTTCTTAAACAATAACGAAAACATCTTAACATCACGTATAATTGTATACTAAATACTATTACTCTACTGCTGCTACATTACAAACATTCTAAAACAGTAGTGATAGTGTCACAAAATAACACAACTAATAATTTCATAATCCACCCCTTACAGTAAGGAATATTTGTTGGTTACCTGCGTGCACGAGCAACTCACAGCAGCTATCAGACGTGCTTCGTGTGAGTTTTAATCTAAGTTATTCCATTTGAAAAATACGCAGCATAAATGAACTATGGTACAATAAATAAATAATGGAGCATCATCTTGTGAAACATGAAGTCAAAAAAGTTATCGATTTATCAGAACGTAATTTAAAAATTTTCATTGTATTTCAGGAAAATATAGTGAAGTTTTCGTAATAGTGCTCATGTTAAATCATCTATATTTAAAAGTAGGTAGCCAATGTGTTCGGTTCAGTGTGTTTAGCATATGTACAGAATCTCAAAAAATCTTGAGTAAAGAAGTAAAAGGTGAATTTTCTATAAATGTGAGATTGACAAAAGTGAAATTGACGGTGAAATATACTCAAAACTTTGTATTAAACCCACTGCAGAGAAATCAATTGTATTAGTATTATTATGGAAGTCCGTCGCGAAGCGAGGATGACGTCAGTGGCGCCTCATATGTGAGCGTAGCCCGAAGTCCGATGCGCAGATTCTTCCACACACCGGGCAGGCTACGGCAGCAGCAGGGTTTGCAAAACCCTGAAAAACCCTTAACTGTAGAATTAGAAGGAAAACCTAACGATGAAGTTGAGATTACAGGAATTAAGGTACCCAATTCAAGTGCGAAATAAGCATATTTAAATGAGTATATAGTGGAAAGCACGATTGATAACATTACTAAAAGCTTGCAGTCGATTGTTGTTATTGATTGAATTTCGTACCAAATTCATAATCAGAAGCGGTAAGATCAACAGAGTCAGTCCAGTGGGAAAATGTCATGGACCCTCGTCCTCTTTATTAAAACATAACACCTTTACACTACAGATTTACGTCCCGATCGTTAAATAGTTAGAAGTAAATAAGGATTACACTGTTAAGACAGGAATAAATCACGAAGCGACGTTTAAG